TGCTGCTTTCAGGCTCCAGCACAGCCCAGAGCCAAGCGGTTTGCTGCAACTTTCCATCAGGTTTTTTAGTGCTCCCGGGCGTCTCCTCCCAAAAACCGTGCTCAGCTGCAGCTCTTTGGAGGGGGCACTGCACTTTGCTGGTCTGGGGGGCTCTCTGCCATTCTGCCATGCCTGAGCCCTGGGTGAGGAGCACAGCGCCGGCACACCCAGCTGCATTCCTGAGGTTTGGTTTCCATGCTGGGATGTGCACCCGACAGTGAAGTCATGCTGTGGGCTGCGGTGGCCACTGAGCTAATGCATCCATGGATCACAACAGGGCTGCAGCCAAAGCCCCAACTCTGCCCAAGGGATGCTCCGGACCCCACCAATCCAACCCCTGTGCCAGGGGTGGGGAATGAACCAACAGCTCACACAGGTCCTTGGCTAAGCTCCATGTAGTGTTTTCAGCCTGCTTCACCCCAGTGTAGGACAGAAATCACAGACCTTGGGGGGCACTGCTGTAAGGTGGGAGCCTGGAGCAGCACCTGCACAGAGCTTGGGAGAGGTGGGGAAGGACAGAGGAATGTAGAGCTTGGTACAAAGGGCAGCATGGCAACTGAGGTGGCAAAGACACATGTCAGCAGCCAGCAGTACCAGCAAAGCACATTCCTGCAGGATAGAGCCCCATCAAACAATAAGACCAAGGTGTGGTGGAAGAATGGGTTCTGGAACATCACACACTGGGGTGGCTGGGTGGCTGCCAACCCCTAGTATGTCCTTTCTGCCCAACCCCACGCATGGGGCTGCAGGCAGTTACGTCACGAGGAAATAGACCTGCAGGACTTTTCAGCAAAGTTCAGTACGAGTTCTGTCAACTGAAGCCCCACAAAGCAGCATATCCTCCTGGGATGCCTTTCCTATTCACACCCAGTTCTAACACTGCTGCAGCACTCTCTTTGCACACCCTCTGTGCCCACAGGGGCCGTGGGGAGCTCAAGCCGAGTGGCCTCTCCTCGCCTCCTGGACACACTTTGGCTCCTGCATGCTCTCACACAGCCAAAACTGCAACAGCACGTGCCACTTCCAGCCCGACATTGCTTTATGAGACTGACCTCGACCTTCAGAGCAGAAAACCCTTCCATCATCCCACTGGGATCTCGCCCAGGACCCGAGCACCCAGCAGCCATTATTCATCAGTTCGATTTTCCAGGTGAAGCGCGGCCCCTCCAGCAGCGAGCTCTCAGCCCTGGCCGCGCTGCCTGCCCTCCACACTCATCATATTCATGTCCTCCTGCAGCAGCACTCCCTGCCCGCTGGCTCCCACCGCCGCTGACTCACCGAGCTCACACACTGAGCCCTTTCAGAGCGCTTGGCCCCAAACACTGCCCCACTCTTCCCGGCCTTGGGGCTGCGCTCCCGCTGAGCCCCGCAGCTCTTCCCAGGCGTGGGGATGGCACCGGGCTTCCATCCAAGAGGAGAACATCAGTGCTGTGCAAAGAGAGCGGCTTTCAGGACTGAGTCCGGGTGCAGGAGGGTGGTGGGAAGGCTTGGCCAGCCCGGTGCCTTTGAGCAACATCCAGAAAAATACTCCAAAGAAAAATAAATAGATGTGTTTGAGAAGGAAAAGGATCCCGAGCTGCTAGCGGGACAACCCCTGGCTCTGCCCTGTTCTCCTAGCAGAAGGGCTCTGAGAGGGATGAGAGCAGCATCTCTGTTCCTGCATTTGGGGGGGCTCAATGAGCCGCCCCTCCGCCTGCAGCCCTGGGAAACCCATGTGCAGAACAGATCTGGGAATGGGCAGCACCAAGTCCCACTGCTGCACTGTGGGGATGTGTGCCTGTGGGTATCACCTGCAGCACACCCCAAAGTGGAGCTGTACTCACACACACACACGCACACACACGCACACACACACACACACACACACACACACACACACACGCAGGTGCTCCCCTGGGGAAGCGGAGTGAGCGATCTCACAATCTCCAAAGGAGGAATTTGGAGAGGAATTTGCTGTCTGAAGGCCTGAGGTGTCTGGGGCCGCCCTGCCCTCGGGTGCTGCTAGGTTTCAAGTGCCTCTTCATCCCCAGTCTCCAACAAAATGGCCATAACAAAGCACTGCTGTGTTTTACAGAGGGTTTGGGAATGGGGGAAGGTGGCACAGCATCCCCCTGGCAGCAGAGAGCCCAACCTCACGGAAGCACTCCCACTGCTCCCTACACCTGCAATCAGTAGAGATGCTCCGCTCAGGGACACGTTTCCCAGCCAGGAAATAGAGGCTATTTTTAGCATAAGCTGGAAATCAATGGGTAATACGTGAGGAGGGAGGGGAGAGGCAGAAGAATGCGCGCCTATTTACGGAGGTTTTTGTATGACGCCGGACAGCTCCAACCTGCTCCAACCACTCCCACCTTCCTGCTGCAGAGCCTCACCGGGCGCCGTTGTGCAAATGGGGATGGTTGACGTTGGAAACGACCTTCAGCATCACGGCAGGAACCCCGGCAGATGCTGCTTGCGGTAAAACAGGTGCAGCTCTGGGAGCTGCTACTGGGCGTCGCTCTCCACGGGGAGGAATCAAAGCGTGCTTCCAATCTGCACCTCCTTATCAGCGCTTATGGGAACAAAAGGAAATGCTGTGCTGGGTTTGCTGCCACGATCTGTGGCGTGGCTTGTGCTTATGGAGTGGAGGAAAAGTCAGATCCTGGGTAACAGCCCTTGCATGAGGCTGGGTTATGCTGGTGCTGGCTAAGATGTGTTGCAATTTCCTTATGGCTCTGTTGGACGTGGGAGCAAACCTTGCCTGCTTCCCAGCCCCACCGGGAGCCAGGAGCAGCCTCATGCTGAGCTTTGGCACTCCCAGCCCCAGGCAGATGCAGAACGGCTCAGGGTGGAAGGAGTTAAAAGAAGAGATAAGAGGGAGACACGGCTCCACGCTCTGTGCTGCTCTGTTTGCACTTCAGACAAGTGCCCCACCAGGGCACAGAGGTATTTCTCAATGCTGTGATGTTCGCAGATAGCTGGAAATGGGTGCGGTGAAGTTTCTATTCCCCGCTCTTCCATGGTGACCATGAATAACCCCCAGTGGCATTCCCCACCGGTGCACCAAACCGATAGCATTAATCTCTCCCTGGTTAAGAGCCAAACAGAAATCAGAGGTGCACAAGTCAACTCAATCCGAGTTGCTCCGAGAGAATCCGTGCATCAAAACAGCATTAGGTAACAGAGCTGGCTGAAGGCAGCTCCCACACGGCCCTGCATTACATGAGCTTGGCTGTGCTTCCCCCCCTGCCCCAGGGCACAGAGCGCTGGTAGCAGCAGCGTGCTTGGGACAGTGCCTGCCCTATGGCAGCTATTGGGAGGCATGGAAGAAAAGCCCTTTTCCTCTCTCTGTAACTGCTCTGTGCTGAGTAACGGGGCACACAAACTCTACCAGCTCCTGTGGTATGCAATGAGCAGGTCTGCACCCACACCTCTGTGCCAATCACACCCCCTGCCATCATCTCAACAAGCCCCAGCAAGGACACGCTTCCCCAAGAGCTGATTCTCCAGCTGGGACAGGGTATTCCCAGCACAAACCACACTCACAGCCCAGAGGAAGGTCACTGACAGGAACATGTGGGCAGTGCCCGTGCCAAGCAGCAGCACCAAACCTCGTCCCTCAGATAAGGCGGCCTAGGATCCATTGCTGTGCTCAAGGCAATGGTGGGCATCGTAAAAAATGGCACACTACATCACCATGCTCCGGCCCCACTGCTCCATCCCCACTGCCCAGGGATGGTGGGTGGATGGAGTGGTGCCTAACGAGGCACAGAGATCTCCTCCCTGGCTGCATGAATATCGATTGCGCTCCGTCGCAGACCTGCCCCAGACTGGTCTCTTTACTACACTGTTCTGCATAAAGCACTGGCGTCACACGTCAGAAGGGAAAGGTAATGAGAGATCGCAATCAGCCCCGGCACAAAAGGAAGGAGATTCCTGCATAATTCCGGCTGGAGATGGAAAACCTCTGCCGGTGGGATCGGGTCTGTGCTGCTGTGCAATGAGTGCCTTTCCTGTGCCACAGAGCACACAGTCCAGCCCTGCAGAATAATTCCCATCATAGGAAGAAGTAATGCCAAAAAAGCCCTAAACAAAACAAAATTTCAAGGGAGGGAAGGAAGTAGGCAGGAAACAACACACATGCTCTCCAGAAAACCAGGCCAGATCTGTACGCAGGCACTGTAGTAGGAGGCAAATTCTTATGAAAAACAATGTTTTAGGCACCTGAATTGGAACAAGCAGCTTTCCATGAGGGGCTGAGCCATCCCCTGCTCCCCACGAGGAGAGTGCTGTGTCCTCACGACTGCTTGGGGGAAGCTGAGCTCGGCTGAAGACAGTTTGTGTTTATCACCACAGCAAATAATGAACATAATGAGAGTTACAGCATGGATTGCAGAATCATAGAACAGCTTATGTTGGAAGGGACCTTGAGGCCCACATCCCCATCCCCTGCTGTGGGCTGATTGCCTCCAGCAGCTCAGGCTGCCCAGGGGCTATCCAACCTGGCCTTGGGCACCAACAGGGATGGGGCACCCACAGCTGTGGGCAATGGGAGATCCGGATTTTCCTTTTTCACATTGGATTCCACAGATCAACACATTACTCTCACCACAAGGTCACCCAGCTGAGGTGTGGCTAAGCTTTGCACTCTGCCCTACACAAACAGGACCTGGAGCCATGAAATTGAGCCAAGCTGATGAGACTCACCCCAAAATCAATCCTCGCTCTGCCGTTTTGGGTTGACCTGCGGTGTGATGCACAGCGCCGGCACTTCATTTGGTGCTCATGGTCCTCCTCCATGCTACCAACACGAACCATGAGCCCAAAGGGCAGCGCGTGAGCAGATGGGAACAATGAAGCCACTTGTTCTCAGGAAGCATTCGACCTCTGCCAACAGCCAACCGGATCCAGATGAGGACCGGGGCAGCCAGAGCAGAACATGGCAGAGTGAAGGCAGAACCGTATCCCTTGGCATCCAGCTGCTATTTCCAGCACTCACAACTCATCCTCACATTAGCTCCACTTTTTCATCACTGTTCAGAGCAAGAGGACCACGGAGTGAAACCTTGAGTGACAAAGCAGGATTATTCCTTAGGTCTAACATACAAAACAGCTCACACATCTGCAAGAGCAATGCTATTCTTTCAGGCACCCACCCAACTGCCTCATTTATTCTTAAAATTAGCTCTCAGCATCATTAAGAGGAAAGCAAATAAAGTGAAGCAACACTTTAAAGACTTGTAAAATGGAAAAAGAAACTGTCTTTTAAATTAAATACCTCGTGAAGTCATTCCCATCCACAGCGAATAATGGCACTCTCCAAAACTTTGGCCTTAAAATCACACCAGAACAGCACTTCGTGTATTTGAAGATAAGCACAAAGCAAACATTTAATGCTGTCACCTGGATATCTGAGGCTTGTTCACTTTCATTTCCACAAACTAACACCAGCGTTGCTTGTAAATATAAGCCAGGAAGGAACCTGCAATAAAAGGACATGTTCCAGAAAGTTACTGGATGTCAGAGGGCCATTCAGTCTGCTGATTGCAGAGTATCAGGTTCTGAAAGAGCAAAGTTTGGACAGTGACCTTGTAGTGAACTCAATGCCTTTCCTTCACAGGGCAGCATGCAGCAAGGAAGTGGGAAGCAGCTCTCTTTGAGAGGTCTGATACCAAGCACTGTGCAGATGCCAGGCCAGAAGGGCTGCTGGTCCTGGCCTCTGTTAGCTGTGCGCACATCCCCTGGTGCTCCACAGCCAGGTACAGCCAGGCAGGGCCTGCTCCAGCCACCCCGAGGTCAGGCAGGCTGAGCGAGGTGCACCTCTTTGCTCTCCAGCACTTCCCCTCCTGGGACTTGGTCCAGCACTGAGCCACACTGCAACCAAGTGTGAGGATGGATGTGCTGCCAGGAAGGTCTGGCTCAAAGATGAACTTCAGCGGGGAGGAACAGCAGGAAGGCAGGCAGCTCGCTTGCCATCCCACTGTTACTACTCAAAGACATGCACGAATGCACTGCAATGCTTCTCTTCCCTATGCTGTAACATCCACCATTTTATAAAGGCCCAAGAACTATGGTTTTAAGTTGAAGCAGGGAAGATTTAGGCTGGATGTCAGGGGAAAGTTCTTTACTATGAGTGGTGAGGTGCTGGACCAGGCTGCCCAGAGAGGTTGTGGATGCCACGTCCCTGGAGGTGTCCAAGGCCAGATTGCATGGGGTCCGGGGCAGATCGGTCTAGTATTAAATGTGAAGGTTGGTGGCCCTGTATGTGCTGGAGGCTTGGGAGCTTCATGATCCTTGAGGTCCCTTCCAACCTGGGCTATTCTGTGAGGCAAAGCACAGCGAGAGGCTCATGCCTGCACTGCAGCACTTCAGAGCAAACAATGCCAGCTCCGCAGCTGCGGGCCAGGCTGCGTGAGGGAGCTGTGCTTTCCATTCAGGTGGAGACAAAGCTGCTGAGGACAGAATTTATCACAAAGAAAACAGCGGAAAGTAAACAAATGCACACCCTGTATATCCATGAAACACCAAACAAACTTATCACAGAGAGGAAAAAGTAATATATCCTTTTAGAAACAATTTTGCTCTATCAGTGTCAGATGATTTTAAAGTATATAGAATGAACTCTCCATGCAAATGTAATTAGACGTGCAGTTCACATTTGGACAATGCTGTCAGAGGGAATGTTGGCTTTTCGGGTGGTTCTGTGTGGAGCCAGGAGTTCAGCTTGAATATCCTTGTGAGCCTCTTCCAGCTGAGGATACTCTATGATTCAGTGTCTCAATAACACTGAAGATAAACAGGACATATGCAGAAAGCATGCCAGTGTCACACAGCACTTTGGTCACACAAGAAAAAAATCCCAGCTCTATGTCTTGTGCCATTCGTGCACTTATTGCAAGTAACACTGCAGCCAGTTCAGGTACAGTCACACCCCTCTCACTCAAGCAGGCAATCTCCACTGCTCCTGTTAGGAACTCACCAGGCTGCTGCTGGATCTGGCAGCGACCTCTGCGTGGCATACAGCAACCTTTAAGAGAGAGGTGCAGAATTTGCTGTGTGTGTGTGTGTGACTGACCTGATCATTCTGGGACCTCTCAACCTCTGGCAGCGGTGTCCTGCTAACAAAGGCAAAATCAACACTTCTTACAGCTTCAAACCCTTCTGACCGGCATCATTTTTGTGAACAGACAGAGAACAGAAGGACACAGTATTTTGTCAGGTTCTCATATTGCTGCTCAGCCCATAATTTATTTTGAAGCTCACACACAGTCCCTCTCAAGTATTTGGCAAATGGAGTTTCTCAAGCATTAGTACAAAAAATTGTCTCCAATGCGAAACTCAGCACTGCAGTGAGATAAATCTCAGCTCAGCTGCTGGGGCTCTCTATGCACCTACAGATGCAGATGAGCATGCATAGCACTTCAGTGTTAACAGCCGGACAGCTGATATTACATGCTGCAAAAAAATAAAGAAAAGAAAAGCACAGAGGAAAAAGCAAAGCTGCCCACTATGCAAATCCACTACGTGAGTTTTTATGGCTGCCTTGTATTGCAGCCCCTATTGGTTCCTCAAAAGGCATCTTTCCATTACTTGCTTTATCAACTTGGAGAGGAGGTGGGTCAATCTAAGCACAGATCAGAGCTTTTCTGTGGTTTATCTACCTCAGAGACCTGCAGGATAGGGGTGATTAGCTGCCTACAATCACTTTATGTCCTATGCAGCTGGGCATTAAAGTAACACCCGTACTCTGCCTGCTTTGTGTGAGCCCTGTGGACTTACTGAGTTTCATATCAATACGATCAGATTTCAGACTGCAGGATGTCTTTTTCTTCAAGAGATCCTAACTCCAATTTGAAGTCTGTTATTGAAGGGGTGAGAGGAACTCGTGTGTTGGATGCCTTTCTGTCAGACAGTGACACAGCATCACTGGTCTCATGGCAATCACATCAAGAGAGGAAATGGCCTTGGCTATTCAGTTGCCACCACGTACCACCACGAGGAACAATTCGAGGTCTCATCACAGAGAAGCTTTCATCTGGACACGATTGCTGACTTTACAATTCTTTGCTCTCAAGGTGGAGGTAATTGCCATTATTGGAGTTGCTTGACCTCTTGGGCTGAGTTCATCTTATGTGTTTCTCACGGTGGAACTCCAACACAAAAGCTTTAACTTCTCCCTTCTTGTACCTACCTAAAAGCATTTGCTTTTAATATCAATTTACAACACACGTGCTTTCTTCTGTGCTTTACAGCTTCAGTGGCAACCAAGTACCAAGGCAAAGTACATTTGAATAGGAGTAATTACTACAGATAAACCTGCTGATCAGACCCCCAGAGGTGAGGTGAGCAGCTGGACAGTGGCACACAGTTTTACAACTGTCACACACTGATGAAATACTTTGATGTTCAAATGCAGACCTCACTCCACACACAGCTGCTCCAGGCAGTAGTTCTACACAGGCAGGTATGCTTTCTCTCCTAGTGCTGATCCCTGGAACTCAGACATTCCCAAACTCATTGACAAAAGCATAATTAAAAAGACAACAGAACAAGTTACAAGCAAGCAATGCCTAAACAAGACGGCTCCTTGGCTAGATCCTGTGCTGAGCCCTAGGCACCGTTTTCAAAGGCGATTTACTCTGACACAGAAAGCAGAGAGGAAGAGACTTCCCTGGAGGTAGCAATGTCTCTTTAAACTCTCAGAGATGCTGGGACTATATCCATCTACTGTATCAGCTGTGGGCAGCTGATGAGACCTCGAATTGTAACAAGGCCTTTGTCTTAGCCAGCTTGAGAGATGACAGCAGATGCAGCCCATCAGATAATCCCTGAATCACCGTGCAAGGCGTGCGCCGTGCAGTGATAATAACCTCTTCTCAGTAGGTCGCCAGTAAAGCTCATTACAGGAAGCTGGCTCTGTCCTTCAGCAATGTGACAGGTGATTCTCGAGGAAAGGAACTGTTCTCACTTCCTGTAGGACTGGATGCCTGCAGGAAAATAAAGAGAGAGAGCTTGTCAACTGAGCAAGATTTATCAAAGGGCAAAAGCTGCCTGAGGGGAACTCTACAGTGACACAGCCACCACAGAGAACATACACAAAGGCACCTTAACCACTTAAAAAATGCAGAAAGTGTTTATGGCAACAACTTGTCAGGGATACTGAAAGAATGCCTGGAGCAGCAGGAAGCCACCCACCAGTACGCAGTCACATGCTCCTTCCTTTAGCACAGATTTTTGTTCCACTCCAGTTCCACCATGCCCTGGGCACAGCTTGGTACAATGCACACATCCCTTCTCTTTGGCTTGCCCTTAAGAGGTGTTTGGAACAGAAGCAGAGTAAGGCACAAGGCAGATTAAATCACTCAGCCATGTGCACACAGAGCACATAAAGCGCAACTGAAAAACTCCAGATTTGGAGATTCACTCTGTGTTCCAGCCACACTGCTACCCCTGCACCAGCTAGGAAGTGGAGCCAGAGAAAGCTCCAGCATGGCTGGTGGCATCTGGAGGAGCTTCATTTTGCTGCAAGGTGTAGCTTTGGCACTCTGCTAACAGCAGGCTCCATCTCAGGCAGGATCCTGGCCCCAGGGCTGGAGCTGCACTGAGTACCTGTGCTTCATCTGCATTCCTCAGGCATTCCAAACACCCTTCACACTCCAGTCCAGTTAGTTCAGTTTGTGTAAAAGCCACTTATTTCCAGTAAAAACACCTACAACAAACATCAAAAGAAAGCTAAAACTGCATCTCTAAAGTAAGTAATCACATCGAGTGAGTGCAATCAGAAACTCATATTTTTCCTCATTGCGCCCTGAGCTTGTTCTTCTGCAGAATTCCAAAGAAATCCAAGAAGTAAAAACAGTCTTCCAGAGAGACACATTATACACATGGAACTCTGATTAAAGCTCCTCTAACACAACTTCAAAATCAGCTGCAGTATACACTGTGCCCTGGGAAAGGAACTTACTCCATATCCCTACAAAAGCAGCACATACATTTCACATCTTTCATAGGACACAGGCATCATGAAGTGAAAAGCTCCAAAAAAGAAACTAGAATAAGGATTTGGGCAAGTTTTGGTGCGCACACCCATTCTGTGCTTTCCCCTTATTCAGTAAAGCTTTTCCTCTTCAATGGACTACTGACTCTGGAAATGAAACAGGAACTGAAATGAACAGACTGCTGGTCACTTGCTCCACGTGTAGTCAGTACTAAGGAAATGGAGAGCATTGATGTCAGGGGTAAAACACGGGGCATACTCAGCAAAAGTAAAGCTGAACGAGCTGGCAGTATTACCTAAGCACGGGACTATTCAAGCAAGTACTCAACATGTCAAAACCACTCTTAGCCACCAGGGACACTTCCCTTCCATTGCCCCACCTGTACTCCCTGAAAGAAAGGTGCCCTCCCTGCACATTTAAACTGTTTAAAAGAGCAATGAGTGAGCAGCACAGAAGACATAGGAAGTTATTCCCTTCTCTTTGACGATTTTCTATGTTATTTCAGTTCTTTATGTTCCATTTTCCTTACCTGGAATGAGAAGTTAACAATAAGCACGCACCTCATTTCTCGGGCAGGTGCAGGAAGCATTCAGAGCTGCCTCACTTTCCTGAAATGCTTAAAGGTAACAGTTTCAGCTAAGAGTGGAGCTGCTGTTACCTTGTGATCATTACTAAATCTCTCACCACACCTTTGCAATAGGAACATACAGCACATTGCTCCTTCCAATTTTAATTGCTGCTGGCCTCAGGGGCGTCTTATTTGCACTCCAAAGAAAAGGCTTATACTTGTCACTCAAGAATGCACCTTCCCATTGGGAATGCACCATCGCCTTTTCTTCCACCCCAGAACCCACAGCTTACACACCCCCTTCATCTCCACACACAATTGCATGAGTATCTGAGACCAGCATTCCTACTTCACTGGGCTGAGGTTGGCAGGCCTGAAGCATGCTTCCTTCTCTCCCCTCCAACCTCAGGTCACCACCCTCCTCTCTTCTGAGCCCACTGCAATCTAGTGCTGCTTGCATTATTCAGGAAACAACTCATCCAGACGGTTCTTAAATGCGAGTCTCCTGCAGAAGGATGACTGCCACAAGCAGCACGCCATGCCTGGCTGCCTGCTAACATCTGGTCTGCATTCAGTGGCAGTGTGGACACACCCAGGGACCCAAATTCAAGAACGTTAGACAAGTTATACAGCAGAGCGAACAAGTGTCTAAAGAAAAAGAGACAGTAATGACATCCAGAGAATGTCTAATACGAGACTTTGGAGAAATTGGGCCACTTTTCTCCACCCAGAGACAGGAAAAAGTGTGTCTCTGTTCACATGATAGTCTGGAAAGAGGAGCAGTGTTCAGCAAGATATAATTTCATGGTTGTGCATCCTGCAGATGACAAGTACAATGTCATATACTCCTGGCACACTTGCAGCACACGACTTCATTCCTGGAGAGCTCCTGCAGAACTCCCTCCTTTCCCACCCAAAGTGCTGACAAGCAGAATGATGACTGTTTCCACTTACTCTGTCTGCTCCTTGTGGATGATCCCGAGGAGCTGGGACGGCTCGTTTGTTGGGGTCCAGACTGGGAGAACTGGGGGGCAATGGTTGGGATCTTTCCCTTTCTGGGGCTGGCACTGTGCATTTCAGGAGTGCGAGGGATCTTAGGTTTGCTGGTAAAGGCTGAAGAAAACTCACTGTAGGACATGGAAAAGGGTTAGCGATGCATGGAGAGAAACATATGCACGGGAAGCCTGCAATCAAGTGAAACCAAGTGACCAATTCAGGGAGACAATCAAATGGAGAGGAACATGACAGCACTGGTACTGCTGCAGGGCACGCACCCACCACAGCCTCCAGCTTCATGGATGTGCCTCTTCTATTCAAACTTGGCTCTTTAGACAACACCATTGAACCTGCTAAGCTAGGTCCCTCACAAACAAGTAACAGACATTGTTTGTTTTGTCCACATTGTTTGCTATCACCTTTATCTTACACAGACTCATTCAGAGGTGCAAACTGTATATAGGGATGCTACAGCATAGGAATGCATCCTTGTAGGCCACAACACCAACAGACGCAGAGCCTTGCTGGCTCCCAGCTGTGACAAGATTCATACATCTCCCAAAAGTCTTTATCAAAAGCACAAAAAGCTACAATAGCTTCCATAAAAGATATTCCCTAAACACACAGCCACCTCGCTCACACTGAGAACACTGCTGTGATTTCATATTCTGCACATGCTGCAAGAATACCAGTCTTTAGGATTTAGTCCATAACTACATGAGGACACACTGTCCTTTCCTGTCCTTAGCATAAATATATTTTTTCTGGTATACAAACAGTGAAGGCTACTAGGAAATATAAGTTTGTAACATAATTTCGAATCTATATTCATGCTGGTTCTGGTAAGGCAATTTTCTCCTAAGGGGAGAAAAGATTAAAGTGAAATAACAGCTTCATAAAGAAGCACATTGTATTAAAAGGAAATAAAAGCAGAGTCAAAGTAGGAGATCCATAAAAGTGCCATCGAAAGGAAGGTGATTAAATTTTATTTGGAAAGTCGCAGTGTTATTAGCTCCATCAAAAGAACCTTTGTGAGCATCAGAGAGGCTGATTAGGGGATTTTCAAGACATTTAATCCCTCCGCGCCTCCTGGGAATGCTGCTGAGTCAACCATCGCCCCTGCTTCACCTTGCAGGGAGATTCGGCAGCCAGCGCTTCTTTATACTTGATGCAACATTAATTGTCCATATTTTGCATTCCTGTGTGCTAACTATTAGGGACAGACACCAACTGGTCTCCTCAGAACCACCTCCGCAGCCCTCCACCTTCCACTGAGCATGACAAGTATCAAACTTGCACCATTTCAAAAGAGGAGGTGGTAGATGGCAGCAAAACCAGCAAAACAAAGCCAGAATCCAGAGATGGGTTAAACTTACCCTGAGCTCTGAATCACATCTTTAAATGTCTCTCCCCATCAAACAGTTTCATTGTTACGGCTTGTTTGCAGTTTTATCCACTCGGGCTCAAGTGCTGCGTTTCAATACAGTTGTGGTATCTTATGTGGACTAAGGTGTGTTAACACAGATGAAAAAGCAAGACCCAACAGCCTCAGCAGTATTTGAGCCATAAATAAGATTCTTCATTACTTGCAAATACCTTTATCAAAGAGAAGGAATGCAAAATGGTATTGTATGATGGCTCACGTTATTTGCAAACTGCCTGGAAAGGATTATATGAAATAACTCACTAGTAAACACTGTAAAGGTCAAAGAACATTCTGCTGGTATTCTGACAGGATGTACAGCACACCTCAAGTCTCCCTGTGCCCAGGTGTCACTGAGCTACTTCATCTTCTACTACATCAATACACAAAGACCAACAGAAACGGGTTGTTCAGTTTTTAATGGTATTTTACCTATCTGGCATCCTTCAGGATTTGAGAAAAAAAGCAGCAAAATCCGCTGTGGGATAATGATCTGTGATATTTGGTGAAGAAGTCAATTATGACAAAGTATGGCAATCTGAGAGCAAGTGCTGTAACACAAAAAAATAAAGCAGAACCCTAAATTTGCACTGATGAGAATGAAAACTGTCTGGAAAAATGGAAATGGTTGTCTACTCGAGTACACAACAGACTGACACTGAGATCTAAATAAGCCAAGAGGTCTGACAAGACTTGACATATAAATGGAACATATCAACTGCTCTGTCCAAGAGAAGCACACTCAGACTTTTGGCCAATTTTACCAGACTGAAAGAAAGGGGAGAGTGGAGTAGACCCTCCAGAGCTTAATCTCTTTATGATGATGCTGGCCCTAGTCACGATAAAAAATAAGGGATTTTTTAAGCAAGCCTCCACCATAAACTCAAGTCTATTACAAATGCATGCCTTGTTAGCTAAGAAGCACAACACAACTGTATTGTTACATGGACTCATAGAACCATAAAATGGTTTAAGCTGAAAGGGACCTTCAAGATCACCTACTTCTAACTCCCCCCCTGCTGTAAGCAGGGACACCTCCCTCTAGACCAGGTTGCTCAAAGCCCAGTGGATCAAAATGCAGCAGAGAAGAACAGTGCAGAAGGAGCTGCCAGTCTGGCTTGCATCAGTTGCAACCATTTGTTCCTACAAAAACACGATAACTGTGATGGACAAGCTACTAGTAGGGCATCTTAGACTGATTTACTGCAAATGCAGCTTTGCAGATCTCTCTGCAGTTAAATCCTCAATTAATGCTGCTCAAGGAAGAGGAGAAATTCTCAGCATCTCCACGAGTCAGTCTTCCTTTTTCATACAGAACTTTTTGGATGGTCTCAGTATTTCTGTAGTAAGGAGGCTCCTCTGACAGTAGACATGTGACCAAAGCAAGGATTATTAATTCACTCTGTTTTGCAAACACGTGAAAGTATGCTTCCAAGGAGGAAAGAAGGAAAGGAAGAACAAAAAGGCAGGTCTAGCTATAGCAACACCAACATATCAACAAAAGACCCCGACACAGAAAACCCTATGTTCTGCTTGGACTGTGAATGGCTGCATTCCCACATTTGTAACTTGAGGCTGCTTTCGTAAATCCCAATTACTGTATGCACAGTGAGGGAGCACGAGATGAAGAGATATCACCTCCTTCTGCAGTGCTGCATTCGTTCAGTTAGAAATGTATTACTGAGATTTAGACACACTTTTATTCAGAAATATTCAAGATTATTGAGGACATATCTTTTTAACAATGGATAATGACTGCAGGGAAGCACAGCCACACACTGAGGGCAAGATACTCCCTATTTATCATCTCTTGCAAGCTGAAGCCTGAGAAATAGCCTCCCACCATCTGCCAAAGCACAAAGCAAGCAATTTGGTCACAACATTCTCATGGTCTGTCTGTATCTGCAGTAAGTGCTTAGCTACTGTTAAGAGAGGCAACACTGAAGTAAAACCAGTAATGCTGGGATAGTATGACAACTAAGCACTCCAACTGCTCAACAGCGACAATTTGTTGACAGTATATTATTTCTCAGATCTCACCATGGAAGTAGCACAATTGGAATATATTTATGTGTATATATATATATATAAAAGAATCTGTACACCACATAGAAACAAAGCTCTAAGCAAATAATGCAGTTCCCAGGAGTACTGGAGCTTTAACTGACACGGGTGATTAAGCCCTTCTGAAAAATCTGACCGTGAAGAGTCACTAAAACCTTTAATGCATCTCCACCCATTCTGTGTTTTACTTTTGGAATGTATTTGCTATTAACATTTCTATAGTCTCACTGTTTAAAACTTGGCCCAATCAAATTAGCTTTAGGAAAAAGCTGTTAACGTCTGAAGGACACATGCAGGTCCTGAAAAACTTTGGTCAGTCTTGGTCCAACTCCTAATGAATTCCCACTTCTCATCCAGGATATAACATCACCGTCCTCCATACGACAAAAGCTGCAGAGAGGGCTCAATATACGAACAGGAGAAGGAGAGCAAGATCTCTCTTCACTGAAATTGTTTCAAGACAAAGTTGAAACCCTCTACGGGGAGAGCATGTAATACTGACTTCCTTGCTCTTCCCACATAGGAAACAAACCATCAAGGACTGCAGTCAGCAATGCCAGCTTCTCAGCATGTTTAAACACAGCATATCCACTTAAATGCTTAATCTCTCTTCTGTACATTAATTCCTGCCCTCTTCTCATAGCTACACCTCTTTCTTTACTATTCCAATGATTTTTCATGGGGTACAGTAGAGTCATTTAAGGAAGCAATCAGGAAGTTTTACTTGCAGAAAACCAGGCTGTGCATACATGTGATGTTCATTAGTAACATCTTGCTTGAGGTTTCTCCCATTCTGGACCAGATGCTTAGAAATTGAATGGCTGCCTCTGGCACTGCTAAGGGTATTTTGTTTGGCAAGCACTACCACAGCTGTCTCAGACCAGACTACATCATACATCAAATGACTTCACAGATTGTCTTCACAGCAGCATGGAATTAGCTGGTAAATCCCCTCAGACTCCTCTCACACTCTTAGATATCTATCTGGATAAATCATACCTATGAGAGTGCCCATTCACTTTGTCTTGGGTGAAGTCAGTAGACTGGGAAGACAAGATATCACCAGCTTCAATGCTTCGGTCCATCCTATGGCCTGATGAGAATATTTTAGATGGCTTCATTTCAATTGCTGTTTTAAAAGGAAACACAATTCAGTGAGGAATTCTTAACAGTTTGCTAGAAACACAATCAAGTAGCTGTGTGAAAGAAAGGCAGAGACAGAAGCAAGCTACCGAGTTACTGTGGCAGAGCACTCTGCCGCTCATCAGCTGAGCCAAGCTAACTGCATGTGTGCATACATGTGTGCATACTTCTGGCCCCTTACAACTGCAAAGTAAAACACGCTTGGATCATTTTCAAAGTAGCTCCACTTTGCATTTGTGATGGCCTAGGAACACGCAGACCACCAATTAACATGTATCAGTTAATATCTGATGCCTTATTAAAGCCACAGGAATGCAACCACCTGCACTGGTCTGTCCATATCCACAGCAACAGCTGCCACAGCAGGCAAAAAAAAAAGAAGTGTTCAGGACACCTCTGTCAGAATTGAGCTCTATTACATTTGCTCAATAAATCTCACCTTCTGCCTTGTGCTAATGTGAAACAGGACAGTCAGCTTGCTGAGAGACACAAGAGTATCAAGATGTGCAAGTCCAATATGAGGGCAGGAAAATCCCTAGCTCCATTTCTCTGCATTCCTCCCATGCCTGCGACAGATTGCCCTCCTGTTTATTTGCTCACATGCTGATAGGGATAGAGTTCGGGCCCCTTTCAGACAAGAACTTGGCTGCCTAGTGCATATTCTGTCTGGGTTTCACTGTGAGTGTAATAAGATGACCGAGGTTCATCTTCAGTCCACAAGTTTTCTGCTTGTAGGAGGCAAAAAAAAAGGTCAGAATTACTATTATAGACACATTTCCAAACTGATCACATGGGAAGATGGTCCTAGACAGAATCAGAAAAATGAGAAGGCAACACAAGAACAGGTGACTAGATCCAGGTGCAGAGGACACAGACAACAGGAGAGGTTTCTTGATGTTAAGTTTTGCTTCCTTGAGACATGACCTTGTTGATATCAACTGTTCACATAAAGCTTTTCTTTTTACTCTTGGTCTTTCATTATTCATTTCATGATTGGAACTCATAAAACTGTGAAAACCAAAGCATTTGTGTGATGCTGAAAAACACATACTCTGAAACGAGTAGCTTCCTGACACTCAAGAGGTCATTAAATTGCTTATTCTATTTAACAGCAACAACATTTGACCGGCATTGTGAGAGCCTTTATAAGCAGTACAATCTAGTTATCTTACTAGTATCCATCTGCACACAGTTTTGACTGAAAATAGTTAGGAAATGTTTTCAGAGGATACAAAAATGGTTAGAAAATATGAGAACGTTACAGTTGGCAGCATTTTCTTCATCATGAAAGCATTAAATCCATTCTCTCCTTCAAAAATTAGCATTTGCTTTGCTGACTTGCTCAGATTCCCTTTGTAAGCCACCCCGCAAATCTCTGCAAGCAATCCACCAGACAGCATCAGCAGCACAGATAAGGAGACAGAGGTCAGCGAATGCATTTCACTGGCAAGATATGAACAAGATGTGGTTCAGAAGGCACGCTGGCTCCTGGTGGCTGCATAATGCCTTGGAAATAGCATCCAAAGGAGAGCTGAATCTACAACACGCTTTAAAACAGCAACTAGCAGCACATTTTATACCTGCTTTGCTTAATTTCCTTTACAAAGCATATGTACAACTCGATTTCTTTTCCTTCTGACTTCCCTGTAGAGCAGGCTTAGCTGCACTCAGCATGCTACTGCATGTAGCAAGGCTCAAGGACAGCAGCTCTCACTCCTGCACAACAGCAAGAACCCAAGTGCCCAGCTCAAACAGGAGCTTCATCTGCTTCTATCATGGCCTTTCAGCATGTTATATTTATCAGCTCTAGGCATTATGCAAATGGATTCCTGTCTGCAAGACCTTGGTTACTTTTCTCAGAATCCTTTTCATTTCCTCTAGGAAATTCAAAAAACAAGAAGGGAGAGAAAAAAGCTATGTTATTTCTTGACTGCTTCAAAGCATATTTTTCAGGAAAGTAAAGGCAGGCTTTTGTCTGAGCTTATTGGTAATTCTGTACTAGACGTGCTGCAACATCCTTTATTTAAGTTTGCAGAACATTTTGCTTTAAAACTCTAATTGGAAACGACAATGAATCCCTGCAAACAGGTCAGAACAGTTACATCAAAAGCTGCACGACTCTGTGGATATTAGATCAGAAGTATTTCAGAAGCCTATAACCTCTTAAACTCCATCACATGTTTCTGAGCTCTCGCGTCCAGATGAGCGTGCACTGATTTCAGTGCAAGTTGCAAGGATAGAATCTTTAGCAGCATCACCCACAAAGCAGCTACACAGCATAGAGCTTCCCATCCTCCACAAGCTTTTATGGTTGCAGTTGCAAAATGAAGTAGATAACTGCAGCTGCCTTGACTTTTATACAGGGGTCTGGCCAATGGAGCCTGCAGGTGCCAGCACACAGTAATTCATTTAGATCTAAACAAGGCTGTATTTGATCAAGTAAGTGGCTTTGCCTGTTGGGAAATGCACTGTATCTGGGCTGCGGCTCTTTCCCTAGGCAGAGAACGTCATGGAGTGAAAGAAAATCCACTTAGCATGTCGGAAGCCCTGGGTATGATCCCTGACCCTTCCACAGGAAGGGAGATGGAGCAAGGCAATGGAGACTATTAGTGTCTGCTGGGCGCACATCACTTTCTGCAGCTGTTCATTCAGCTGGAGCTGAATGTGGTCCCAGGATCACGCAGGCTGCCCCAAACAGAGGGCATGCTCCAAGGCTACGTTGAAAATAATAATTCAAAAATCTACAGAACACGTTGGGTCCCAAATGCTTGCCCCAGTCAAGACAGACACCAACAACTTCCTTACATGAAGAGGAAGCGCAGAGGTCAGCAATGCCAGAGCTGCTCCCGGCACAGACAGGAGGAGAACCGCTCAGCAGAGACTGGGAATTTTCATCTCTATCGTGACAAGAAATGGAATCGTTTTCTGGCCTGGAGGAGAAAGGAAAAGGCAGGCCGGTGAATATTTGCAGTCACCTGAGCAGAAGTTTGATTTTCTTCAAATTGCCTGTCATAGAAGAAATTAAAATCTGTATTTTTCATACAGCAAACTAGTGCCAAGGCCATAATTTAACTGCACAACTGTAGCTTCCCCAGACCAGCTGATGTTGGACGTATTTGGAAGGAACATTTTTTCCTACAGCAATGAAGAGCCAAGGAAAGGAAACTGTACCTCCTTGCAGTCTGAAGACCCAAAATACCAGCATGACACTTAAAGAAAAATACTACAGCAGTGGGCCTGTGAGGTCTCTAGTTCTCAGCTTTTTCATGCATTTAAGTTTTGCTCCTGATTATGACAAGGATTTCACTCTATAGAGAGCAATACACAGCACTCATTTAAAGGAGGTAGGATGTAGAACCATAGATTTCCCAAGTTAGGTGGGTCAATGAGAAATCTAAGCAGCTGAAGATGAGAAAAGGAATGAGATGGCTTGTTAATAAGCAATAAAACCCAGGAGAAGTGAGAAGGGTGTGCAAACCATGAAAAAAAAACGGGCAGACGCAGAAAGTTTCCCTGTCCAATAGCAGGTTAAGGCAATTAAGCTACATTTCCAGTTAGAAAAGGAACATTCCAAGGAGGCAGTTAGTGATTTCTCAGCTAAACCAGTTTCTAAGGAAACAGCTAGCAGAATATTAAGTAGCTCAGTCCCCCTCCAGTGATCTCAGCAGTGAGGCTTTGGAGAGAAGGGAAAGGAAAAAAAGCAGCCTTGCAGTATTTCCTGGCTCCCCATAAAGCAAGAGCTTGTCCGTACAGGGATCCCATGACAATTCATCTGAAATAACCAGAGACTTGTCTGTGCTGGGAAGTCAGAGAAAAAACAGCATGGAATATCAGCTCCTTGTGCAGTAGCTCCTCTGTATTGATTTTCTGTGTGAATACTCCTATTCAGCACCAGAAATCCCCCCTCTTCTTTTTTGACTCCTGAACCAACAACTCAGAGATGCATTATAGCATCTCCATTAACAGCATTCTCTTTCATCGTGTTTTAAAGATGGAATACGTTGCATCAAGTCTTGCAAATTTTTTCTGCAAACATCTCAGGCAATTCAAATTGCCCTGGGTTGCTCCTAAGTAAATATGCTACACAAGAAAGTAGGAAGTGACACTTCTCATATTATTTCAGCTGATGGGAATGTGAGCCATCTGAACCATTTAAACTATGAAATACATCCACTTCAGATATTGCTTTCAAATTAAAGCAGATAAGATTTCACTACTTGCATTGTCTTGCTCTTGCAAGGCTTCCTATTAGAGGATTTCTCATTCTAGTGAGTCAATTCTTATTAGAATTAGAAAGGCATAAAGCCACCAAAGTGCATCAATTACTGAACAAAATCTAGTTCAAGCGTGCTCATTCGCTGCCTTTTTCTTGCACACAGATGTGTAAAAAGGTGGCTTTATTCTGCATCTAGCAGTGACCTGAAGCTGCATTACAGAGGCTGGGGAGATGTTCAGAAGGAGGTTCATGCTTTGATAAGACAACAACACTGGCATCACTTGGGCAATCCCAGGATTCTGTTAAGCAAACACGTTACCCAGGTAGATGGTGCAAAAAAAAGAGGCATTTGATCATTTGATCAATTTGATCATAGAGAACATTCCTGACACATTAATTGTAATGCATTACATCGCACCAGGAAATAAAAACTATTTCCCCTGATTTGACCAGTTTTTTCCCTTTGGAAAGTCACTTCATCTTCACGTGCTACTTTTCCTTTCCACTTCTAAAGCAGGAATGTAAAGCTCGAGACACTCCAGTAGTAATTAAGACTTACTCTTGAAAAATACTTTCTAATACTTTCTAAATATACAAAATGCTAAGCAGGGCTACCTTAACAGCTGGTGCTGTTGAGTATGAGCAGTATGAGTCCAGATCTTCTAGTCCACTATGGGAAAAACACCATGCAGGGGAAGTGAGACTCTGAACACAGACCCTACGATGATGTGGCACTGTGTATTTAATCATGCATTAGCCAGTTCAGACTTCTAAGGCATGCAGTTGTTTTGCACGACTGCAGAAAAAAAGATTATCTAATCTCTATGCTACTAATACAAGTTTGTATAAATGAGATGGTGTTTTCTTCACACACACTCTCTTAATATACAGGAAGAGGGAGAGGGCTTGCAAAAGCTCTGGACATTGAAATGGTGCAAAAGCTGATGACCGTGAGAAATGATGCAAACTCCAAATTGGCATCCAGGTTACAGCAGGCAGAAGTAGGCTCCATGCTCAAACAGAGGTCATTCTTTCCAGGCTAGCAGTCAGAAAAAATAAAAATAAAAACTCAAGACTGCGCAGGACAAATTCTGCTCTGCAAAAGCCAAAGCTTTTCTTTCTGCCTTAGAAGTGTGTGTTTCATTCACCTTCCCTAATTTTTTTTTTAGATGTTTCCTGACCTTTTTTCATCCCCAGATCTCATATGCTTTACTTGTCCATACTGAGACTATAGTGACATAAATCAATATAATCCCACATGAATTGCACTGCTGCCAAAAACAAAACCCCACAAAAACATAACAGTTGAAAAGAAGTGTTTCTGGTGAATCAGGAGGGCTCCAAGTCAGTTCACTTGCTTGTTCAAATGCCACTGCAAAATAGTGGTGGAAATGGACACTGGCAGGATAAAGTTGGAATCACTCCCCATCCACAACAGTAAGCTCAGGTCAGATTCAGCTATACACATACAACTACTGCCTACATCAGTCCTCTGTTGTCTGAATGGACCTTCCACCCTAAAATGTGGAAGAAATGTATTTTAAAAACTTGAAAATACGAACATGAAAGCAGAAAGCAGCAGAGGAATGACATGGGACAGTCTTCAGAATACCAAGCTGATAGAATCCCAAGCCAATCCCAGGTTTTACATACCCCATACAAGCTACAAACAGAACACACTGCAAGAAAAAGAAAGGATTATGAACACAAGGAATATAATGCAACTTCAAATCAAACCGATCAGTAAACATTTGTTCTACTTGTTAAATTATGTGACGTCAGCCAATGGATGTTTCTCTGCCTGCCCGCAGCATTCTCCATTCTGTTCTGAAGTGATCTTTAAAGAATGACAATGGCAGTGCACTTTCAAGTATGGAGATTTTATTTATCTGGAAGTAGGAAGCATTTGTTTGTTTTTTAAGATGCTTTTAAAAAAAATTCAACTTTGCTTCATGTGTTTCAACTTACGTTGGGTATAAATTTCTGTGATAACCTGGTGTCACAGGTCTCTGGAGAGGTTCATCTATACTCTGATGGACACCAGAAAACAGCTTCCTCTTGGTCTTTGGAGTATGAGTCATTATCTGAGACAAAGGTAACAAAGAAATGGAAAAACAAAGAGAAGACTGGGAATAAAGGTAAGTGGAGCCACTGAAGACATTCTATAGAAATACTACATTGGAAGATCAGTTGTGATTCAGTGCCACAACATACAGCTCTCAGAGATCACTACGGGCTGTTCCATGACATCTTATCTCAGGTCATCTCCATCACCACCACAACCAGACTGTGGACTCTGAGATCCAGAAGGCAGTCACACTTAAACTTGTCGCAGCATAATAAATGACATTCAGGCCAACTTCAAGCTTTTTTACGTAATGGCTTTTTGATGCTTGAGGTAAGACATACAATACTCGATCTGACATAAAGCCTGAATAATTAATCTTCAGACCAGCAATATTCCAGCATTAACTTGCTCAGCACTTGTCTTTGTGTGTCACAATCACTGACCTAGCACTAGAACCCCAAGGCTGCCTTCAGTTCCTTATTAAGCTGCAGCCTGACCACCTCATGAAGGGGCAACTGCTGTTCTCAAACTTACGCTACTTCTGAACTACAGCTAAGAAAAAGAGTGAAAGGTGTGGACTGTTATGCAGGTACAACCTATCCTTTAAAATAAGGAACTGAAGACAGAATGATCTTAGAAGGCAATGAAAGTGCTGAAATTAAACACTTAATCCAGCAAGTTCACTTGTTAAGGATCGTGGAAAGCAGTACTTACTCCCAAGTATTCAGTTGTCAACAGCTTCTCTCCTGTAAGCTCTCCCAGTTGAGGCTGTAAAACCTCATCTTTGTCCAGGTCAGCCTCCATGATGTCATGGCCCTCCTGCAACAGCAACACACAGGTTATCTGAGCACAGGTTCCGAGGAAGTTTTCATTTCAAATTTACTTCTCACTTCAGTAGTCACTTAGATGATATGTACTTTCCAGATAAATGACTGTCAGTACTGCACATGTGAATTGTAACGTACAGCTAATTTCTACCAAAAAGGCAGACACCCAGATACAAGCTCAACTGAGCTTTCAATGTAATCAGAAACTAGAGAATCTTGAGAGAAGGAAGATCAACACCTTCCTCCAAAAATTATTCAGCAGAAAGCACAGTTTGCACTTCAAAGTTGTCATCCTTCAAATTTCCAGCCTCAGATAATTATTCCTTGACCTAAGAAGGGCTCAAGAAAATCTCAGTACTTAGCACTGTTGCAGGACACCCTATGCTAGTCTGAAGAGATGCAATGCTCCATCCCTAACAAGCAGCTGCTATTTTTGTAGCAGTTAGCAGCTGCTAAGTTTGTAGCTGTAGTTTTTACAGATCTACCCATACAACCAACTTATGGTTATGCATATGGTTATGCAGTACAGACTGAAAAATGTAACCTAATGCTGTTTCTCAGCCACATTGGAGGCTTCCCTTCCCCCCCCCCCCCCCCCACTATAATTATTTTCCATATACAAATTAAAGTTTTTCATAAGCACTACTGAGATACTGGATTGTTAAGATAAGGTTGTACAGGACCTCAGGGAAATGTTCCATCTGCCTTCCTCTCCCAATGAAAGATATGCTACAATCAGCTTGGAAGTTGGTAGGTGTGGGAAATAAGCCAGATCATGAAAAAAAACACAGATAAACACCTGTAAACTGTCCAACAACCATCTGTATCAAACAAAACAGAAAGACTGCACGTATACTGTGCTTAGGCAAAAAAAGAGTTACAAAGACGGGCTTTAGAAATAGTTTGCTGGGAGGTTTGTTTTTTGTTTTGTTTGTTTGTTTGTTTTACACAGTATGACAATGCAGCATCAACAGCAAATTGTTTCCTTCAAGAATATTTGACAGAACTCTTGCTCATTACTCAGAAAAGACAGACCATCACCCCGATCTTTCATCGAGCTTTTTCCTGCATGCTGTATTTAACTTTGCTTCTCTGATCAGCTCGGTGTCCCCAGGTCCCACCTCACCCACTGTGCTGGGTGACACGTTTTGTCACCTGGAGAACTCTGAGTTCTGGTTCCTGGGAAGGATCTCCCTGCCAATCTTGCTCCCTGATGTTATATAACACACCAGGTAACTGAGCCTGAACATGCTCCTCCTCTGGCTCCCTGTTTGGAAGAAAAGCTTTGACAGATGTACCATGCCTCCATTGCTGCTAAAACACAACTGGTGCCCTGTTCACTGCTGCAGCACACACTGGAAGCAAAGCCCTTTATCATAATCATAGCATTGTTAAGGTTGGAGACAACCTCTAAGATCATCGAGTCCAAACATCAAATAACACGATGGAATCAATCCCACAAGTACTGTGATGAGATTCAAGTTGTAGAGCAAATATCCAAGTGTTTAGGGAAAGTTTTGTGTTAATTATTTTTCACTAAATAACACTAATGTTAATAAGCACACGATGAAAAAAAATTAATACTCTTTATTAAAAAAAAAAAAAGCAGTCCAATTTCAGTTGCATATCAATGGGTTCTTTGCTTTTTTGTTTTGTATTTTTGGGGAGGGGAGGTGGTGGCAGTGATGAAAAGGGCTGGCTAGATTTTCTTTTCCCCCACCATTTTCGTATCAGACCCTCTGTAGCTATGAATGGTCATGTCTCTCAGCTGCATCTCTAACGAATGATTTATGGGGCCTGGAGAAACCAGTTATTATCACAAGATCTGTTCAAAGCCAAAAGAATTGAACAACTCTAAATTAGACACAGGCAAAAGTGAAACAAACAAAAACAGCAACACAAGAAACCAGGAAAGGTAATAGCAACAGCATGGAGACACTTTGCATGCTCTTGGAAGCAATAAAAGAGAAGGTAAAAATCAGATAAGACTCATTTTGTTGTTTCTTAAGTTTTGAGGGAGTGAAAATTGGTGCTGAGCAAATCAGCAACGTACCAGCAGGTCATCTGAATGCATGTCATAAATTGTCAATACATGGCTGCATACCGACACACGTCTGCAGTAGTTTTTAAGCATTACATCAAGACAAGACTTCTGCCAAAGCCTTCCAAAACTTTCTGCTGTCAGATCACAATACCAGATGCTATCACAGGGCCCCAAAGAACAATAACTCTCAGCATTTCCAAAATACAAAAGGGCCTCAAGCATTGAGGCAGTGAGACAACAAACCTTCCTTTGCTTCGTTAAGAACACAACAACATTATGAGTTTCATACATCCTTTTGCTGTCACACTGTTTGCAGACTGTGTTTTCTGTGTATAGAGACTAACAAAGCAGGCTTACATGTAACAGAACAGAATTACAGCTCCCAGCAGCAATAAGGATTGTAAACTCGCCACAATCAACGTTACATTGGTGGCAGTTGTAGAACTGCCTAAATCTGAGTTCTTTGAACATAATAGCAAAGCTAATGCAAAACCGAAATCAGGCACTTTGTTTCAAAAGCCTATTGTTATTTTTTGAGTAAAACAAGGAGTGACCGAGGCCTGCTGTAATCACATGATGGTGGTAAGAACACATCTCAAATTGATTTGACCTAGAGCCTTGGCTGGGACGGTGAGCAGCAACTTGTCCAGGGGACACAACTGAATAGGAGAAATCTTTTCATTCCCAAGAGCAGCAGAAAAATCAGTCAGTGAAAACATGCAACACTACCATACAATCCAAAGCCACTGCTTTCATGAAGGGCCTCCTTATCTCTATGCTTTCACAACAGTAACCTTCAAATACGTGTACCAGCATTCAAGGGAAAATATCACAACCTTGGATCCTTGCAAAACACCGAAGACACTCAAAGCCTTGGAATGTCAGTTGAAAGATGCCAAGCAGGGTAATGAACGAAAGGAAGTTCTAATATGAATTCCTAGAATGACCACCTGCACATCAAGCACCGGTTATGAGTTGGAGGAATGGGAAGAACAGGTTACTGAAAAACTCACTTCAGAGCAGCAGGAGTTGAAACAATTACAACAATCTGATTAGAAAAAGCATGGTACAGTTCACAGAACCCATTCCGGAGAAGAGAGAGAACTGACTAAACTAAAATCTCCACATAGCCCTAAACCTAGAAGTGCCACATAGCTCCGAAATCAGGGGAAGGCATCACAACAAAAAAGCTAAACGATGCAGAAAATAATAACAAAAAGAAAAAAAAGATTACAAGGCTTTCCCGGACATCGGTGGATCCAGCAAAGCGCTACGCTCAGTGCTGGCTGTGAGCACACCACACCTTTTACAACATATTTACATTTTTCTCTGTTTTCACAATGTAACGGGTTCAAAGTACGTTTGAAAAATGCTCAACAACCTGCAGCAGCAGGGCAGTTTTTGAAGTGTAACAGGGTTGTTAGCATTTATGTGCAACAAGTTAGCAAACGCTGACACAACAGGCTTGCTGAATTCCGCAGGACTTAAACTCTTAGTCCGTCCAGCCCAAAAACTCACTCTTTGTCTGTAAACTCAGTTTCCAGTAAAAATGCTCCCCACTGATATTTATAATACAAGACTGTCTAGTAGAGATCACTAGCTCTCAATGTCATTGACTTCCTTGGTGTGAATACATGTAGTTCAAACAGTATTCCAAGGTTCTCATGAAAGACTTCTTGAGAAGTGCCATACAGTAGACTTCATTCCCATACAGCTCCCAGTGTAGCTGCCCATGCAGCACTTTTTCAAGTCCTCCTTCACATGCACTTACAGCAATGTAGCAATTGTAGGTAATGCAGCCTGACCTCCTTGCTATGGGATCATGAAATAACCAAACACACTGCATGCTTCCAAACCTGGGATCCTGTTACTCTGTGCGGTCAGCTTCTTTAAAAAGTGCTGAAGTAAAATCATCAGTATAAAAAGTGTTTAACATAGACTTGGAAATATACAGCCAAGCAGTTTTCTCTATTGTATCACTTCTGATACTTCCTATCTTCATTTTTTCCCTCTCTTTATGGCACTTCTTTGCAGATGTGGAATTATGGTTTTCCCTCACAACATACAACTTACTGCACATATCTCAAAATTTCTGAGTGCCAAAAGAAGTTGCCACACATTAAACAGATGAGGATACCTTAAAAAAAGTTTATTAATTTTCTTGTTTATTGTATTCTGGAGATTAAACAGGACTTCAACAAAACAAAAAAGAAAAAAACAACTCAATGGAATAAACAAGATGTGGCTTACTGATAAGAATTCTTTCTGTCTAGAGGATGAAGGATTTCTCTAAAAGGTTTCAGAGGGCCTTCATGACTTACCTCCTCGTCCTCTTCTTCCTCTTCATCATCAGACACAATATTGTCATTTAGTGGCTCTTCTAGTAAGAAGAAAAATGAAACTGTGTAAGAGCACACATCCAGCTTGACAGAATCTCTAATTTTCGTCTCTCTTTGGGAGCAATATGATTCAGCTTGCTTCTCATACAGATGTGCCATTTTTTTCAGGACATCTATTGGAATTGTTTGCCCCTGTAAAGCATGCTAGAAATCAATTTTTATCCAGGAAAAAAATACAGAAGTAGAAACACTCTGGAATGGTACTTTTCTCACAGATCTCACCACAGTGCCCCAGCATATTTTCTGATGAGATGTGTGAATCAAAGTGTTCACTTGCAAAGTTCTCAATTTTTCAACTAGCTTTTAGTGAAAAGTTCCACTTCTCTTTACAAACACCTCATTACTGCACTGTTTACAAATAAAAATACAGACTTGTGCAGAATTACTTACTGTAATTTTTGTGCAATACAGAGGAACACAGAACAAAAAAAAACAACGTAAAAGCAAATCAACAGCAACAAACAAAAAACCATCAATGACATTGTTAAATGCCAACGATTATGTGGACAAACAGACTTCTTAGTAAAAAGCACCCAGGCTTATCCTGCAAACCATTATACTCAACTTTCACTCACCAATCTATTTGACATGCCCTTTATAAAAATGCCATTCTCACAGGTAGGAGAGGAGTGATTGTGTAACTTTGGTGAACAAATATTGCACAGTAGCAACATGGTGCTTAAATATTCTATTTGTTCCTTTGCAGAGGAACCAAAGATATGCTGTCTTTTTCTAGAAGAAAGCAGTCAGACTTGTTCCACTTTCACTGTACAGAAAAACTTCATTAGAATTCATCTCTTTTTCATTATTTGCTTTCTTCTTCCTCTGCCTCCCTTTTGGACACAGGAAACAGAAAACAAAACAAACGTTCCACCTTCTCACACTTTGTATTACCACAGCCCCTATGACTCCAGCAACCAGCCAACATGCTCTCCAAAATGGAGGGTCTCAGCCCCCTGCTCAGAGCCACTTTGGAATGCAGAGCTCCACTCCTCTACAAAGTGAGGGACAGGCAGAGACACAGTTACTAAACTCCACTTTACAAATTGTATCACCTGCATATTTTCAGCTCACACCTGTCTCCAGAGGTCTCTAGGAGGCCACTGGTATGAAAGAAAACAGCCAAGGTCATTTTGTTTACAGTCCCCAAACTCCAGGATTGAGACCTACGCAGCCTATTATTCCTTCTTTATATTCTTAACACAAAAGTCAGTTTTAAAACATATCACATCCTGACATCCACTATTCACCCTCTCTCAGACCATCACATTATTGTCACTCTGTGGGAGTTTCAATGCCAAATAAAAACATGAGCCTACTTATGGCTTTGTGAAGATTTACAGCTCAGATAGCTGCATTTTGTTCGTCTGACCTGAATAGAGCTGCTTGATAATAAATTCAATCTGTCGGATCATCTCTGCATTTCCTTCCTTGAGAAAGCAGCGTAGAATTTCTTCCATTCCCTGGATGGAGTGGAAAACACTGTAAGATTAGTATTTCACATGACCACAGTGACAGATCCGTCAGCTAAAATGTCATCGTTTTGATGGGAAAAACACAGGCAATGTGAAACAAACCACTGTGCTCTGCTCTAAGCACTCCTTTTTGTCCATACACTTCCAAAAGAAAAGAAATGCACTGTCTGGACTGCTTCTAGATTTAAATGTGGAAGTATTCGTGATGAAGAGCCATTTTTAACAGATCTGTTACTTCTGCCTTCTCAACTCAGTTGTCAACACAGCAGTCAACAGAAAAGGGCAAATTTGCATTCACAGACAACTGTGTGAAGTTCAGAGAAGGAAAAATCAAAAGCAAGACAATCTTCAGCCTTCTCCTAAACTCAGTTTCTTCCTTAGTGGACCTTACAGGCTTGATGTTGTGTCTTTAATCATGGAAGATGACATCCAGTGCCCTGTGCTCTCCTAAGTAAAACATCTAACAGCAGTTATGTCTGTATAACTCACTAGATCTGCTCTTAAGGTATAAAGGAAGGAACAGTTTCCTCCAGCTCTAATCAAAGCATGTTTGTTACCATTAGACTAACTTTCAATTCCAAGTTCTCTGAAAACCTTCCACCAGCTCTCCCCAGCCAACCATGTCTACATCAGGCAGGAAAACAGTAGCAAGAGGAACTTGTACCCTTACTGGCTTGTTTGCTGGTGCAGAATAAATGAACTAAGGGGAGGAAACAGAAGGTCAAACGAAAGCATCAGGGCCACATTCAGTCTACAAAATGCTATATGGACAGCACTTCAAAAATAACACCTCCAACTTATGATCTGGAAAGAATCCTTTGCACTAGTGGGACTTCACCTCTGGAAAAAGATCAGCAAATATGGCAAAAATGTTCAATCTGTTTATACCTGCTTGCATATAAAAGGTAGAGGGCCTCCTGTGGACGTCCTTCTCAAAATACCATGCTTCCTACCTCACAATCCTGCCACACACCACCTGACCTGTACCCATATGTGTGCCATCTTCAGCATATGAGTTGACCTTTGTGCTATAAAAGCAGTACTGCTCACCATCGCTCTGGCTTCTTCTCGGACCGAAGGGATAGCAAGAATGCTGTAGAGTGCTCCATTCACGTATGGTTGTATCTAAGAAGAAGAAATATTGGCCAGTAGTCGATCACTAAGAAAAACTCTGACATTCAGACAAGTAGTCTATAGCCAAAATTTAAGAGTGAAGGAGCAGAATAACTACGTTTAGAGAGTTTAATCAAGCTAGCCTACATTTGCAAAAATTCCCACATGGTAAGCAGTGATTTTCTTTATAGGACACAAGTACACTGTGCTACAATTTATTTAAAACAGTACTACTGTGTTTTGACTTTCTCTCCTCTTTTTTTGAAAATGTATTCTTGCAAATTGACCCAATGCACTGCCACCAAGGGGAAAAAAAAAGAGGAAAGCAGGAAAAGAGTCAGTTTCTGACAAGCACTTGTGACAGTCCAAAAAAAATAGGAAAGGACAAAAAACTGGGACAAGACTGTGTCAGCACAAATGCAGACAGGCTTCACATGCTGTAGCCTTAAGCAGAATGATAAAAGTTGTAGCAGCACAGAAGATCGTCCCATGCTGCCTATTACTGTCCCTCAGCAGCAGCAAAAGTACTTGGTAATATGGATAGTGAAAACCAGCAGATCTGTCTAACCAATTGTACTGGCACTTATGTGACCATCTGTGCTCGCCACTTACTGCTGGAGCACTAAGATCTTCAGTCATCCTCTGCTTATACCTTGAAAAAAGGAATAAGTGAGCTGGGCTGTGAGCAGAGGAAGCGAAGGAAAACAAGTGATGGGATTTACACAAGGATCCCACAGCTTCTCTAAAAGCTCTGCAGGCACCCAAGAACACTGCCTTGTACCATCAACAGCAAGCACAAACCTTCCACCAGTTGCACTGATGCAAACTATGCCATAAAAATGCACTTTTGAAGAGAAATGTCGAGGTCATTCTAAGATACCAGTGAAACAGTTCAATGAAAGTATGACAAGATGAAAAGATGACAAGTTTCATCCTAATTAAAACAGTAGCAGTAAAGAACTGTACATCCTCTACCAAATTTGTAAAAGTTGGAGCTAACACTTCACTGAAACTTTCTTTCAGTTTAAGAGATAAAAAACCCTCAAGATTCAATTGCTGGATATAGCCACGAGAACCCAGAGTCCATACTATGCTTTAACCAGATGTCCCTAGACAACTCCTGCTATTGTAAAGGAATCAATCCAGTGCATTCTCCTCAAAATTCTGCCTCTTTATGATATCAACTTCATTGAATCTTTCTTTGCATTTTTCCTTGAATTCTACCCCACGGTTAAAAGAAGTGCATCTCTGCAGGGACAGCTAAAGCAATGTGTTATATAAGATAATTTTATCAGCCATGTATTGAAAACATCAGGTAGACATAAATTATCAATTTTAGTACTCGCATGCAAGCATGTCTGGAGAAAGAAAAGAAACTGAACCACAAAATGGTGAAGTGGCAGGTTAAACAAAATGGTAGACAGGAAGATATTAGTCACTAGTTGCTTAAAACACTCCTTAAACCAGTAGCAGTTCTGTTTCTTTGTACCCAATACTTTGCATGTCCTGAACCACACATTGTTCAAACCAGAGAGGATTTGATATGATGTTTAAATAGCATCAGAAACAACAATCAAAAATGCACATGGATTGCATGCTAATTAGGAATCTAGGAGACGTTCATGTCTGCCCATCAACAGCTGTTAAAGGAAGACATAATTACATCCAGAAAGATCAGTGTCCAGTGAAATCAAATTAACATCACTGTGAATTTTAGGAAAATGTCAAACAACTTAATTAACAAATGAAGTTGATTTCCTTCTTTACACATTTCTTGAATGCCTAAGCTTTAATTTTCCTTTCCACTTTTTCCTTAACCTGAAGTTCACTACACAGTACCTCCTGATTCTCATGGCCAAGAAGATCAGAGAGAACTTTGAGTACACGGCCTGCAATCCTTGCACACATTTTCTTCCCTGCAAAGGGAGAAAGCATAAGCATGCTTGAAAAAAAACAACAGATCAGAGCAAGTTTCTTAATAATCTCTCAAAATCAGTACTAAATATAATTAATTTACACGGAGCAATACTGTTCCTTGTTCCTTCCAAATGTTGCTCAACATAACTGAGTGAAATCAGTGGAGTTGCTTCAGAGTCATGCAGTGGTAATCGTGGACAGGAGGCAACACAAAGGGATTTGACAGTGGTGTTACTTTGCTTATACCAAGCAGCCACTTCTTCATCCTTGTCTTACTTTCATTTTTAAGAGGAAATTTATTTTAAGCTTCTTTTAAATCTCTCAGGCATAGAAAATAACACTGTATTCCTCTGTGGAATCTCTGTACTGTCCAAGTGTTTCCTGCAAGCATTCCACTCCACATGCTGCAGGGTTAACTCCTTCCAATACTGATCAAGTCAGTTCTGACTTACTTTTATACAAACAGATCTCTTACACAAGTATCAAGCGCCCTTTGAAAAGCAGACCTGGAATGTCAGAAAGGCAGTTCTCACATGCTGATCTAAAAAAGGAACGAAATCTTGGAGAGTTCCACTGATTTTGGTCAAGCTCATCTCCATAGTTCAGGATTCTTCAGAAAGAGATGGACTCAAAAGTACGGGTTATGACACTCAAATATCACTGGTTATTTGGGTTTCTGCTACTAGTTATGGTCACTTTGAAGAATCCAGGAATACCAATAGAAGCTTTCAGGATCTTCCCTATTTATTTCTTAGAATAAAGCTGTAATTCAAAATGTAATATACCTGCACTCCTCAAACAAAGATTCATGAACAAGGCAACAGAATATTCTAGTGTGTAATCAGAAAGGCTATCTGTATCCGCCAGGACATCAGCCAGCCAGAAAATGAGCCCATCCTTGATCATTGCTGACTGCAGGGCACGTCTAGAATTAAACACAACACACACACAAAACAAATGAGAACATAAGTAGCTTTTGAATACGTTTAACTAATATGAGCGCATTAAAATCCTACTCCATCTACCTGCCACAAACTAGCTTGCCAACAAAATATAAACTACAGGAGAGCAAAGCAAGAAAGCAAGTGAGCACCTACCCCTGCACTGAGAAAAGAAAAAGAAAGTCCCTCATGCCAAGTGTCTGACATTAATATTCTCTAAGGTGAAGTGTTACTTGTTAAAAAGTTAAAAACTTTCAGTAATGAAATTTTCAGTAGATTGTTTCACCAAAATGCTGCTGGGCCCTAAAACTCAAACTCATCTGTACTATCAAACACTGCTTTAATGGAAAAATCCTTTTCTCTAAAACTAACTTATGATTTCAAGCAATAGGGTATGAAGATTCATTCTATCTCATCTCAAGTATGTATAAGATACTATACGAGGAAGCAGTGTGTAAACTCATACAAAGCACATCTACGTGTGTTTCATCTACAGATCTGCATGAAGCAAATCCAACAGCAGCATTCATTCTTCAGCAAGTCCAAACAAACAAAACCAGCAAAGAAACAAAGCAACACAACTTATGGTTTTAATTTAGAGATAGTGTGACTGAAAACAAGAACTAAACACTCCTACCTGTATTTAATTAGCTATTCGGAGCTGAATATGCCACCTGATTGCCAGAAAACAGAAGTCTAGGTAATACTTGCTTGATAAATGAGAATAACATCAAGCATCTTACAGTATCTGCATGATATTTCTTTTGCAATGGACATTTTGAGTCAGAGTGCTGATGCAGAAGTAAGAAACAGAACAGCCTGTGCACAGACAACCTCAGGAAGGAGGATTAACAGTTTGAGGATGAAAACCCTGAAAAATGTTTGTAAAGAGGATAACAAAACACAAGGGAATGTAAGTCAGCTGTTTGTTTTTTTTTTTTTCCCTCCTGTGTGGGATCTTCAGAACTTTCTACATAAAGACTTTCACTGCAGTTGCTCAGTTAAGGAACACATACAAAAGCACACACAGCTACGGCAGGAGACGTACATTTACTTGTGTCTTGATAGCTGGTAGGAAGTCAGGTTAATTCAGTCAGCAAAACTGAGTTCTCCTCTATAATAAATGACATTGCTTTCATCAGCCATCAGAGGGGCTGATGATTGTTATGGGAAAATCGAGCGCTTTTCTTTCCTCCCTGAACAGAGCCCAACTTAGCCCGCATTTCCTCTCCTGCTGTCACCACTGCATGCTGTGCTTTCATCACCTGAGGCTGAATTTCTGCAGAGCCCCCAGAACGTTCTCCCATGTAAGGGAATCCTTGTCCTCAGTTTTCAGTCTCTCCTCCAGCATTTGCAGCAACACTGGGTTCTGAGAAAGGTAGAGACGACCTGGTGCAAAGAGCGATGAAAGAACAGATGCTGAGATACCGATGCATGACAGAAAAGTTTCTTCTCCTTGGAAGACTAAGATGGATTGACCTCCATTTTTTTTTCCTGAGGAGACACAATGTTGTGCCAAAGCCCAAACAAACCTGCACAAATGAGTTGTAGCTGACCAGCTACTCTCTACCCGCTCGCAGCATTAGAGGTCCCCAACCGCCCATTTAGTACCTCTGCTTGCACCACACAGAATCCACATGCTCTCTGATTTATCAGTTTTGTATATTCCAGAAAAAGAGCAGACACATCCAAAGAGCTCAGGAAAGTTAGGTGCCTTATTGCTATTGACTTCAAAAGCAATTTCAGTTCCAAGCAATAGTTAACACTGAACCAAAGGCTAATTTGGGACAGGCAGAGAGACACGGCTGCACATACGCAACCAAAGAGGGAGCAGTGATGCACAAAAATTTATTCAGGTGAGGAGCAGGAAATGCAAGAACAGTGGCAATAAGGACCACCGTGCAGCCTGGTAGCAGGTCTGCCTACAGGCACTTCAATCACTAAGGAATATTCCTTCCCTTCTTCCCTCCCCTGTTTTTTAACCCTCATAAAGAGGCTGAAGACTAAGCTGGGTAAGCCCCCACACAGACCACAGACAATCAAATGACAACAGAAATGGTGCATATGCAGTGTCAAAAGGAAAACTTTCCAGGTAGTGAAAAACTCTTCTGAATGCATGTGAGAGCAAATCCCCAGAAAAAGGGTGCCAACAAGGCTCTACATTCCCACACACAGTGAACGCACTCATGCAGTACTTGTGAATCAGTTTTATATGAAAATGCTTTTTCTCTCTATCAGTGTTACATGAAAACGGTTTTGCTCTCTTTTTCTTTTTTTTCTTCCCTTGCAGAGGATCTCTTACCTTCTGCCAATGAAGCAAAAGCATTGATGAGCCTTGCCATATACTGTCTGACTACCTCACTCTTAGACTGCAGTAATTTAAGGACACTTCTCTGAAAAAGAGAGCAACCATTAATAACAGCACACCAAAGCAGGTAAAAACAAACATAAGTTTTCTATAACACCGTAAAATTTTCAGTAAATTTGCAAAGCAAACAAGCATGGACTGCATACTGACATCTTTAAAATTGATAATAGGATTTGGAATTTTCCACTTCCTCTTTTCTTTAAATCTTATTTTGGTGCGGGGTCAGGGGGAGGTCTGAGAGAGAGGCAGAAAATGAACAAATAAGCAGAGTACAGCTGCTCAGCTCAGTCCGTTAGAACAGCATGGTGTAGGGTGAGAATTGTAATGAACCAGCACTGCTAAAGAGGAAATCTAAAATTAGTCCATGTAAGTTCATCAGTGAAGTTAGCAGTTTTTTGGTCACTAACTGAATGTTAATGTCAGCTGAATAGAAGTGCTGTTTCTTGACAACTAAGCAGCTCTAGAACATAGCAAGATCACCACCTTGCAAACCATTTTTATTCCCTGTTTTACACCTAGCTCTCCTCTTACAGAAATTTTCAGGGAGGAAAATCAGATCACTGATTAATTAATGCTTTAACTTTTCTAACAGTACAAGTTACTGTTGCAATGACAAGGTAGGATGCAGGCCCACTGCTGCAAACAACTGGGGACCCTCAGAAAAGTAACCTTTATGAACAAAGAAAACTGTTTTCACACTTGATAGCAACAGTATTGGAACACGGTGAGTGAATCAACACAACAAACCATTCCAAATTCACCAAAATACTGTTGAATACATGCACAATCAGATATTCTGTAGAGGTACTATGACCAAAGTGTTAATTCACATCTTATCAGTGAAACGGACTGAATGTTTTATCTAACAACACATCAGCACTCAAAAAGGAACACAGCATCTCATAAGCACTTCACAGAAAGAAATCAGCAGTATCACATACAAGGAAGAGGAAGACTATTCCAGCTGACCTGACACTTGCTGTGGCAATCTAAGAGGTCATTACTGATGTAAGCCTGCAGGACAGTATCCCTCTGTTCTCCAGGATATGAAGTTGTCAAGCGCTGAAATAAACAAAAACATCAATAAACCAGACAAATAAATCAATGGTAGGGTGAATTGATGACCACAAGATTTCAAAGGTGCTGATACCACATGGCTGAAAATTAATTCTTTTCTCACAGGGAGAAGGAATTCAACCTCAGTGATCTAAGGGAATGCGATGAACTGCCCTGAGCTCGGCTTAGTGATCCATCACAGAACTGTTCCTTGGAAGCTGTTCTGCATGAAGGACACAGCATTACTTCCCATGAAGTTAAAAGCCCTTTCAATAGCCACAGATGCAGTGCTTTTCTAAAACACCTCAGAGTAGTGGGTTAGGGGGACCGCTGGTCTGACCAGGAGGTGTTGCTTTTTTATTTGATATGTGAAAACAGACATTGAAGCTTGACCAGAATTTCACTATTACCATCTTTCATGTCTGTCACAGTGAAATTGTCAGCTTCCTTTTCAGCAGGAAAATTATGCTTCCTGTTGTCACCTTTAGTTCTTCAAAAATATTATGAAGTTATCTGAGTTAAACAAAACTGTAGGCTCCTGTAGAACACCTTCACCACGAAGGGAAAGTACCAGTTAGAATCAGGTAGTTCTTTGATACAGCAGTATTTAAGTGAATCTGAACAGAGCAACACATCGAAAATGTTGTTTTAGGCATCAGCTATTTCTTTGAAAAACAACTTCCACTGAAGATCCCAGGAATTCCTATCTGGCTTTTCTCAAAGAGAGCACTGCCACATACACACACCTACTGCCAGGGCTTCCCTCATCATCTGAAGACCATCAGCAAGATTCACTGACAAAGACAAATGCTGCCTATAACAGTGACCAGCAGAACAATCACCTGGCCCACAAGATAGATTTTAGTTCTAGACCCCCCCCAGAAGAGACTGATCTGTTTCTACAGAAGCCATCCTACTCACCCAGCGCAGAGCCTGCAGTAAGAAGGCCTTGAGACGATCGTTCCCTGCAAGCAAATCTTTCTTCAGCTTCTCATAGTCCAGAGAGGGCAACAAGGGCACATCCTGCTTCTTCCTACAATACAAATAGGAAATATATTGAATTTTGACGTTCATCCAAACTCCTTATTTGGTGCAGATGATATCACTGAGGTGTCAAGAGCCAAAACAGGACTTCTGCTTCAGGAAAAGGGTCTCCACATTCTTATACATTTGTTATTTTTATTACCATTACCATGTTAGAATAAACAACTTAAGACAATGTCTTGAACTTGGGTTTTCTTCCACCTTAGATGCAGTTCACTTGTCATCACAATCTGCAGACATTAAACAGCCAGCTGATGGTCTGAGCATCTTAAAAATCTCTCACCTCAGACACATTATCTTTACCTTAATGATAGCCAACATTTCCTAAGTTCAGCACTAAAAAAAAAAGATCCCAAAGTACACATAAAAAACACCTTACCAACTTACCAACTCCCCTTTTCCCTTGATTTGTGAGAAGCAAAGCAATTCCAACAATAGGAATGTATGGTGCGGAAACAGCACAGAAAACAGAGCAAACAGCTCCCAGGTGTGGAGTGACAGACTTGTTGGATTAGCAACATCCTGCTGAAATGAGGATGTTATTGAACCTGCCCAAGAGAAGAATCCCAGCACATAGTGCCTGCACGCAATGCTCACCGAGATCAATGAGAGGAAGCATGCAGACCGATTCCATTTGCAAATGACAGGCAGGGCACTTAGGTTTACCAATCCCTCCTCCTGTTTTTTACAGTTATAAATGCAGCTCAGCAATACTTACACAGGTGCCAAAGATGCTCTTAACATTGTGGAAGCCTGGATCAGAGGAAAAAAAAAGGAAATTGTAACAGATGAGTTCAAATTTCACATCGGAACTATTATTAATGAGGTCCAGAGTGCTTTCTCTCACTGAGGTTTGCAGTTCCTTTCATATAAAACCTATGTTGCTATTTAGAAATACAGCTAGAAAAGACTTCAATACTTCCCTTTCCTTCAAAGTAGTTAAAAAGTTAAAATCCCTTTTGTTATGATCTATCTGTGCTGTCTGCACTGACATACTCCAAAAACTCACTTCAAACATTCAAAAATGCAGAAAAGGGAGAGAGGAGAAAATACTCTCTGAAATCCACTGAGGAAGATGAAGACCTTTTTCATTGTCTCTTGACTTCAAAAATCTTAATACCTTAACAGTGCAATAATTTCCCAGTGGAGACATACCATGCATTTCACCCAAATGCAATTTCAATACCAATTGTCTCAGACTTCCTGCTGCTATTAAAATATACCTATACACACAGCCATAAATATGTAAAGAAAAGCCTACTGCAGACAGAAGGGATGTGGGACAACATGCCTAGGATAAGCTCCATTTAAGCCTGGATATTTCTGCTTTGCTGCAGCGTGACTCAAAGCAAAGGAAGGCACCACTGCTGCACAAGCCAGAGCTTAAAGATGTCAACACCATATAAAAGATGTCTTGTTTAATAAATATTTCTTTAGCTAGCACTAACTGTGCTTCATATTATGCATTTCAATGTCAACTACACGCCACGTTCACAGAATATTCTGTGTCACCTTTTGTGTCGGTCTCACTACTCACTTTCTATGCAGTGTCTCGTTACCATTTATGACTGCAAAACCCACCTCCTCTTCTAACCTAGCCTCTTTCAATGGGAGCTATATAATCAGAGTCTATTGTCAGATTTAAAACGGAGGGATTTAGCAGACAAAAGGCAAGCAGTGCCGCAGAGAATACCGAGTTACACCAGCTGAGGTCTTCACAAAGCTCATGGGTATTCTTTGTAATAGAAGGAACAGCTCTCTCAAATGTGAAATAAGCTTATACACACACTAGGAAGCATTTCATGCTATGTTTCAGTCAATGAATGACTGGTATACAATAGATAATTAATAGGTCATGCACTTCAGAATTAACCTGTCTTGACAGCACTCCTCACATAACCATCTTTCTCAACCAGCAGAGAAATCTTCAAAATATCATATATATTTCAATCGTTTTCCCCCCACTTATTTGCAATCATTTTTCTTAGCGTTTCAGACCCAAGAGCATCAGCCTAGAACCTCACAGGGTGAAGGCTTTCCCAGCCCTTTGGTGTTCCTGGGAAGCAATCTGGACACGGTTTGTGTTGCTTCAGGTTTGATTAGGCAAAGCAGACAGGAGGATTCTCAGGGCTGGCTGGTCCTTCACAGCACCTCCATTCAACCTGACTGACCGTGGGCAGCATCACTGGTAAGCAGAGATAACGCAACCACATTACAGGCAGAGACCTCCTTTCTTCATCTGCCTTTGCACGATTGGAATTAGACATAAGTAAGCTAATCTATATCCTTACAGTATGGCAAACTGCGTAAGAAATTGGCTGGAGACGTGTATAGCTCTGACTCAGCCATCAGAAGCAGACAACATTTAAGTGTGTAATTTCCTATCTCTAGGCCCCGACTTTCTTATCCAAAAAGGAAGGACACAGGCATCAGACTCTCCAGTGAGCTCTTCTTTGAGATCTACCAATGAGAGGCAGCATGCAAGTGCTACAAGCTATTGCTTTGCAATTAAACAACCAAACATTCACGGCACACAAACACCACAAAAAGGAAAACAAGAAAATGAGTACTTGATTACAGCTGGACTAGATGATCCCAGTGGTCTCTGCCAACCTTAATCATTCTATGATTGTGACACAGAAAAATTCTGCAAAATAGCAACAGCTGATACAGCATAGTGACAACTCCACTATTTCCTAGTTTTGGGATTTATGTAGGTCTGTATTTTAAGGAGTTCTATGACAAGAGGAATTGCTAGGGAATTATATCGCTTTCTGGTCTGTTCTGGAAGCTCCGCCATCCAGTTGTTCTCCTGGAGCTTGCAGGGCAATGACTGTGGGGTCTGTACTACTTTGGGACAAGCAACGGAGGTATCCCTGAGAGGTGAGCCCCATGGGCCCTCCACCTGCAGCTAACACACCATTCTAACACTTCACTTTAACTCCTGCCTGTAAGCAGGGTGCTCTTCCCCCCCTCACAGAACACCTTGTCCCACTCAAGGGACAGGGTGCACATCCACCACAGATTTCCCTCCAAAGCACGTGCTCCTCAGCCTCACATCTTCCACAATTCACAAGGCAGGCTTTTTTTTTTTTTCTTCCTTATTCATTTCTGTTTCATTTCTCTGGTACCGATCAGAGACATCCCAAATCTCAGGATATTTACCTGGTTAAGCACCACGACACCATCTAACCCTCAAAAGCTCTGTTAAGTTCTACTTCTTGACTTGAGCATTACATTTATTAAAAGGAAAAATCACACCTCAGACACAGCTGGGTCCTGCAGAGCAGCTCCTGGGTTTAATTAAAGCAAGAGCACTTTTAACACAACGAAGCCATATAATCCGGCCAGCATAAAAATGTCGTTTCTTCACCAGTACACAGCAGCTCCAAGGCCAAGCTCTCACACATACTATTGCTGGCAGGAGTGTCAGTGCAGCCTTCATCTTCTCAACACACCCCTACTATAGAAAGCAAAAGCAAGAGATTCCCAGCAACAACAATCCGCCCTGTTACAAATTCAATAACAAAACTCCTTTTGTTTAAGTTCTTTGCAAATCTTTAGCCGAAAGCTTTTAAAAACAGGCTTTCGTGTTGTAGATGAATGTGAAAACATGAAGTCTTCTACATTTTTAGGAAGTAAGGGTTACATTTAAATGAGGAAAAATTTCATTTTTTATCTCAACTGATAAGAGTTCGGGTTGCCTTCTCTAATGAAAGCTGGCAGAACAGAATCCTGGTTTTTGATCCACATGGATCTTTTACTCTCTTGCTGTTAGTTCTTAAATCTAAATGCTGAACCCTCACATCTTGTCACTTCTGTGGCAGTAGTGTCCAAGTTCTAACTGCATGGTGTTTGTAAGAGAGAAAGCAAGGGAGAGTATTTGGATGCAGGAAACTTGGATTTATTTATAACAGCTGCTTTAAATAATGGCACAAGATGAAGTGAAGCCATCGGCACTTTGCATTCATAGCTGTGACTCTACCAGCAATAAATTCCTACTATTCTCCAAGGCTAGTCAAACCATTACAATCTTCATTTCTAGGTGATGAATCCAAGGCCACAGACTGAAACACAAGCAGCCAATGGCGCTGTGAGAAGAGACCTTCCTCAATCTGCATCCAACACTCATCTCCAGACAATGCCCACATCAGCCAAGCTTTCATAGCTCCTTTTTTATCAGCAGTTTCTCAGATTAAAATGATTTGTTGTCAAGAGATATTTTAAACTTAGTATTTCCTCCCAAGCCCTTTTCCTGGTCTTATCAGGTTAAATATTTATCCAACTTTCTGCCTAACAAGTGCTGGTCAGGGAATGATCATGAAGAACATACAGTATATGTGACTTATGTGCAATACCCAACATCAGTTCAATCTCAAGCAAAATACTTCTCATGCAAAACCATTTAGGCAGAACCATTTTTCCATAATTAAACACATGCAGAAACCAGGTGTCTTAGGGAAAGAAGAGAAACAAACAAGATAACAGCCCAAGCATTGCTCATTCTGGTAGGATCATGAGGTATGACTTATTGTTGTGATGTTCCTTACCAAAGCCAAACCAGGTGCCATATTAAGCAAAGCAACTCTGTCACAGTGCAGATTAGCCACAGATGGCAGCCCGTCATTTTTGAAAGAAGCGATGCTTGAATATGAACAGCATGGAATAAAATAAAGTTCAAAGGGAAAAATATTATATCAAAATTTATAAAAGAAAACAGATGCATTTCATCTGCAAGCCAAAACCACAACTGAGCTTATCAAATGCTGCAGCCCCACATTCAAACCAACTCCACTTCACTATTCGATGTGTACATTCGTAACGTGCTGAATGTAGCTGAAGCTAAAAACCAGGTTCTGACCTCAGTTACCACTCTGAAAACTTACTATAAGGATTCACTGTAAATGCAATGCAGATTCAGAATTGATAATCAAAGATATGTGATGGATGTGTGAAGAGTAGAAGTTTGATCTAAGGTGTACATACCACTAGAAATCACCAACGAATGCTCAGCTCATTTGTCACACGCTAACGACAGGAAGACTGCTGCATGCAGCTTAGCACTGCTCAGGCACTGACCTTGTGTAAGCTGGCAGGTCTCTACTGGGGTCATGCAGATTTATTTCATAAGATCTGCAAATGTTTTAAATTATTTCTTCTCCTTACTTACACCAGAGATATGCTGTTATGAAAACTTCCTACTTGGCACAAAAAATAGCTTCTCTGAGAGACATGAAGCGTGCATAAAAAAGTCACACTGTAATGCTATGCAACAAAGCAATGACAACAGATGACAGAGAAATAATGCTATATATGAACAGTAAGGAGATGTTAGAGGAAACCAATCTATCTACTCAAGAAATACCCCAAAATTAGAGTCAGACAGCTTAAAAAAATTATAAACAATTCTGCATTGCAAGATAGTACATTCTGCATTGTACAAAATTGTATGCTACTAAAGCTACCTGTATACAGGCAGAACTTTTCTTCAGCAAAGATCACTTCTTTCATGTCCTCACATCTATAAACAGGTTTTCTCAATCTTGAAACAGATCACAATGAAACAAAACAGAATGGTGAGCACCCAGCAAAGGGTGGCCAGTAGTGCCTCTCACATTTGCAGTACCAGGGTGCTTGATACAGGTCATCTTTTAAACACAGATGAACATGTATTCTATATGTCAAAAAAAAGAAGCACATAAGGAATAGGCTGTTGCATATGGTGATTGTTTCTCCAAACAAAATGGCATTAAAGTGGGAAGTGAGGAACACATTTGAAATAAAGTTCAGTGTTCCTGGGAAGGTCAGATCTTGTTTTACTCAAATAAATTAAAAAAAAAACCAAACCAACAAATGAGGGTGATTTTAAACAGAAAATTGATTGGCATTTTTTAGAATTGGTGTCAATCACCTTTATGATTTGATTACATGTTGACTTAGAATTGGACTCATTTCCTCTCTTTGCAAAGAATGCACTGGGCAGAATTAGATTCTTATGGCTTATTTGTAATATTGCCAGAATACAAGCCTCCATCTGGGTTACAGAAGTCACAGGCAGTACGCAGAATACTTTTGCTTTTTTGGCTTCTAACGAAAAGGGGCCATTTTAATTGCATGGAAAAAAAATTATCATCTCTAACTGCAAATCAAAACTACAAACACATAAAATAAGCCACACCTCTGATAAGCTGTGTTATCTCAAGCACTAATATCCATCCACCTGTTTACTCAAAGGTGTTGTGGGATCAGGTAGCGTTGGCACTCTTCTAAGACCTCGCATTATATACACTGACGTTCACATGGAAGAAACAATCGCTTTCTGTACGTTGTAAAGAAGCTGTGTTTCACGTAAAAGTTGTGGACAAAGCTGATCTTTTGTTGACATGCTGTGTTACACATATTACAAAGCCATAAGGTTACTGAGAACTTCTGTTCTCCATGCACAAATACCATGCCTTGCACATATTTTCAGCAGATATAAACCATACAGTTAATGTAGCGATGAGTTAAAATACACAGAAAATGGTTACATGTTGTGAAATGAGATACAAACAGCGACAGATTGCAGCAGGCAATGTGAAAGGATATAAAGATAGAGACACTTACATATCCGTCATCACAAGGGCTCATAGAGCAATGTCCCTTTATGGGCAAACAGGCACACATTAAAATAAAGAAGATTAAAAAAAAAAACACAAGTTAACAGAAATAAATCACAGAGAAATGCACAGTCCTTAAAAAAGTGATTAAAAAATTAAAATTAGCTAAGGATTAACAGACCATTAGCTCTATAAGGAAAAGTATACCCACCTTCTCCCATTCCACAAACTGAAATCAGAGTGCATCACTTAGGACACACTCATGCCCTCCTTCCAATACCTGGTGAAAGTACCAGTCTGCACATCACTCCATCATAACTGCTGGTTAGAACAGCTGTATGCCAAGCACTGCCACATTGCTGTGGATCTACAAATTCTGTTGCTCACTACACTGAAGCAGCTGAAGAGATAAGTCTCAATGGACATGGCTTTCTATCAGAAGGCCTCAGCTTATGAGAAAGCAGCTCTAAATTTTATCCACACTTGCTTTGGCTGAAATTTCTCACCATCACTTAACAAAAGCCAGGAGAAACAATGTGAGGTGTTTTGGGAATGTTAGCTACTCCCCATCCCCAAAGGTTCCAAGCCTACATTAAGGAAAAGACTCTGAAAGGAAACCTACAGCTGAGTTACTAAGGTAAAAATCAGACACGATTCATGGTTGGAGCAGTTCAGTATAAACATGCCATGTTCTCTTTACTGAGACTAAGATACATAACTGATTTAACCCAGAACGGGTTAATATATAAAAAGAACAGTTGAATGCCCTGAAGTGAATGAGTATTTTAACTCTTACAAAAACACACACACACACACACACACACACAGAGTTCCAGGCTAAGACGATTTAAATTTAGCACAACAGATAACAGAGGTAGAACACAGTGAGCGAGCAAAAGAAACCATGAGATGACCTCTGGTGTGATGAGATGAAATTTCACCAAATACATGACCTGAGCCAATGAAAATATCCACAGGCATCAGGACAAAGATGATAGTAAAGGATTTGAGGATGACAACAGGAAAAGTTTGTGGAAGTCCCTGCGAGTGACAGCACCTTGCTTTATAGATGAAGCAAAGAAGATGCAGTTACATAGAGGAAGGCATCACGTACTGTGTCAGCAGAGGAAAAAACTTCTCTTTGTTCACATTTAAAGGCAGGTTTGTGTCTTCTCATATATAAGCAACAACATATAAGAATCATCCCACTGACAGGGACAGAAAATAAATGCATACTTCATCAGAAGAAAAACTTAGACACTCAAAACTTACTACGGAGATTAATTCAGCTAATTAGATCCACAGGCAAATATAATCAGACTGAACAGCAGCAAAAACATAATGAGTATTAATTCTATTCCATGACAGAAGAACAACATATGAAATCAACTACAAAGCTTTCTAATCACAGAACCTCTTTCCAGTGGGTAAGACTCCTCTTGACAGTGATGGAGACTGCACATCTGGGGAGGTACTCCCAGCTTCCCCTTCAATCCAAAGTTCAGAGATTCTTACTACATTAACCCTAATCCAAGAAATTTCAGGATGGTGTGCACTGTATGTGAATTGGAAAATCTATGCACGGCTTTAAGACTGAGCTCCTGCTTAACAGCTATGTTGGATCAGGACAGAAGATCAAATCCAAGCTAGGGAAGAGAAAGAAACTGCTAGGCTTCATGCTGTGAATTAAACTGACACATTTGCAGGCAACAAAAGACTCCAATCCATGCTTCTCACTCATCAGACAAATCAACATTAAAAGAACAAGAAAACTGAAGTGCAGAGTTAACTCAAGTATATTACAAATAAAAGGGAAAGTGTCAAATAAATGCTTAAAAGAATTAATCTCAAACTTATCTGCTATTACCCACATTATTTCCTTGCCCAAACATTATGAAGTCAGAAATCTGATTAAATCTTCAGATGACTGTTGCCTCAACTTGTCAGAATGGGTGCTCTGACCTCCTGTCCTGAAATCCAGACATTTTCTGCTCCAACAGCTCTCCTGGCCTTCCTATCTTCCCGTACAGGAGCACACATGTCAAGTGACATGATCAAAGATGGGGATAGCCTTCAAAAAAGTCTTATGAGAAAGTAAGACCTCACAAAAGCCTTAGAAAAGTCTCCACCTGCAACAGTGTACCATGGCCTTTATCCCTCTATCTGCATGCAGCAGATGCATCCTGTCACTGGGCTGCAGATCAGGCTCACCAGCTCACGAGGTTGCAGAGCTGGCAAGAAGCATACAGTTGCTTGACAAAAGAATGAGATTCAAGCCAGTTCATCGGAGAGCTCAAAGCAACAGCCAACACCAGCCACCCTTACTGAGTAAGATTTCATGGATATGGTTACACTGAGAAAGTCTCTTGCTTGAGAAACATTACTGCCTCGAAGCTAGTTTGTAAGACTGGTGCTGGGATTTGTTCTCCTGATGCGAATTTATTGCAGTATGAAAGTGACAGGCCTCTGCTGACAGGAGACAAAGCAGGAAGCTGATGTTTGCACAGGAACAGCACACACTGGTAAGTGATATATACATGCTATCTTTACTGTACTTTCAGAGCCTGAGACGTCATGGCTTTATATCACACAATGCCACTTCTCAGTGTCATGTCCCGCCTTTACCCCCAGATATTACAAATTGTTCACCAAGTACAATGCACTGGGAACAAAATAAATTTTACAGATAAGTAATGCTACCAAGGATATAATCCAAGGCACACTCTTTAGTTTCCTTGGGCAGTACTTCATGGTGATGACGCAGGTACAGTCCTACTTCCCAGCGTATCCTAAAGCTACCAGTGCTGCAGCTGATCCAACAAAATACACTGTCAAGTCCAAGTACACATCTCACAGTATGATGCTACAACCTATTAGAAAGAGAATGTCAGCTGTGCACTAAGTGGCAGACCTTTAATTTCAACATGACTGCAGAATGCCTGTTTGCCTGAAAAGCAAAGCAGACTCTTTCCCTCCTAAAAACAGTTTCTAAGTATTCCTGTGCAAGATACACCTCAAGGGCAGACATTACAAACAGAGCAAATAAAAATTGCGGCATCACCTTCTAATTGCCTTTAAAAAATTCTGTACACAGCTAAGGCATGGCTGTGTACACATTCCTCAGAGCAGCACTGAGAGCTTTAGCATTTCCTGCTCTCAGCACCTGCTCCCAATCTTGCACTGTCCCAGGTTGAGCCAGCACGGCTGGGTGAACACAACCATCCCTTCTTTCCAAACTATTTATTGCACATCTAGCCAGCCCCTGCATTTTGCCAATATAGTAACCTAATGGTAAGGATGAGCAAAGGAGCTGCCCCTCTCGTCTCCTCCACCTGCAGTTATACAGGTGACTGTCGCTTCAGAGCAGCAGGGGTTCTGTGAGATGGAGTAGCTGGAAAGACCACACTTCAGTGCCTCTAATTGTAAGCAAAAAGTGATGGGATCTTCCAACACAAATCCAGCACAGATGCTGCACCTCATGCTACCACTTTGTCAGGGTCATGATGACTCCAGTCTTATTCCCAAACTTATGTGAAACTACTGAAGCGTAGAACAATAACATCTAAGTGTGTAACAATGAGGCATTTGGAACGGCTAATTAGAAGTAATGGGATGCCTTAGTGACCCAGTGGCAAACAGATCCAGTATGGCTTTCAGTCCGTCCCATCTGGCTTCACAGATCAACAGAGGCAGGGAGTGCTCAGAAGTATTTTGGGGCTATATATATTTATTATAATTGTGTTTCTGCATGTTTGCTGTTCTTGTATAGAAACAGAACTATTCACATGGGAAATAAACAAGAAAGTATTATCAAGTAGGATAAAAGGATAAGATGGAGGAATCTGGTTATTATGCAGTTAAGTTCTACAGTGAAGACTGTGATCAGTCCTGACCCTACAACTTGGCTAATGGCTCAGACCGCTTCAGTATGAGAGTCTGCTTATAGAAACAACATTTAAATTTCAACCACAGGAGCTACTATAACCTCACTGTTAAGGAGTGACCTGAACCAGTTGAGAAACCCTTAATCTAAACAGACTCAGTGCTATAGTTGTCCTGGTCTTTCCCTAGAGAACTTTGATGGTACAACAACCGCCTCAAGCAGTGTGGGTAGGGGACCATTAAGATGCACTGAAATAGTTATGCTAGTAAAATCTAGTATAAAAATACTCAACTGTGCCAAAAGAAGACAGCTTTACTCAGCTTAACCCAGCTAATTTGGGATGAAAAGGAGGCAAAATTTACTTTCAGGTGAGCAGAAAACCCACTCCAATCAAAACTTCTTTCTCTGACCCATCTGCGTAGCAGGAAATCACATTAAAATTGCCATGTTGGCATAAGTGCAGTGATAAATGCATTTCCAGAGTACAAAAGCTTTCAGAGACACTTTTAGAGAAGCAGGAGCAAACAAACATGATGTGTAAGGCTGACAATCATTTCAACACTGTTTAGTAGAAGGAAACAGATGAAAAATGGTTGAAAGAGATTCTGAACAGTCACCTAATCTGCCCTGGAGGAGCAGCCAAGTGTCAACTATTTCAGGTAAATCTGTTTGGCTATCTTCATTTGTTCTTACAAATGGTGACAGAGGTTTCCTCTGACACTCTGTGTTCGTAAACTGTTGCTTACCCACTGCTTCAATGATCACTTATTGATCTTAAACTTTTTTTCACAGAGAATAAAACAGATGTCTAAGCCTAAAGGCCACAGGGCTGCAGAAGGAAAGACGTTTTTTGCTAAAAGCAGCATATGTGATGGGGAACAAAAAGACAAATGTAGTTCACTCAGCTTTTATTGGCAAAGGTATGGCTTCAGCCACTTCCATGTACCATGCAGTGGATGAAAAGAGAAACTGTCAACTTGCATAGGGAAGACAATTTGCCCTGTGCCCGCAAAAAGGTTCAGGAGATCGGAAGGTCTTCTCATCACACAAAGAAGCAACTTGAAAGTGCAGAAGAAAAAGGGAAAATCTTGAAACAAGCAAAAAAGCAGGAACTCAGAGAAGAAGGCATGTGGCTGCACCAGGTGACAATATGCAGGTGAATGGGATACACGAAGCATCATCTTGGAAAGCTGCTGACAGGGAAAGTAGGAAAACCTCAAAAACTGGTTTTTTTAGAAGAAAAATTGGAGGAGGGAGGTTATAATAAGGCACAGAAGATGGTATAACCATGCACCAAGGACACAGCGTTTATCTGAGAAGAATTGCATACAGTCCTTAGAGCTGAGGTAGCTGACACAAATCCTGGCTCCTTCCTGAACCCCTGGAAAAGCAGCCTGCTAGAGCTGCTAAGAGTGCATCGCCTAAACACACTGCCAGGGCAAGATGTGAGTTCTGAGCATTAGCAGTGAAGGAAGGGTATGTATGTGAACAGAGAAGGAAGGAAAAGAACCAGGCATCCCGATTCGCTTATTGGTAAGATAAAGATCTTCAGATATGGAGCCAAGCTCATCATGTAAATCAACAAGGTGGCTTAGATTGGCCTTCTAAAAACTATTACAAAAACACAGTCCTCCCTTCTGCTGCTTTTCCTCATGTGTTCCCACTATTCTGCCTGATGCTCTTTCTTTGGACGGCAATCCCAATTTGCTCTGGGGTTTTAGGAGAGTCCCTCACAGCAGAAGGAAGTACATGTCCAGAGCTGAGAAATACCACTTCTTCTTCACTAAATTAAAACTGTGTACGATGTGCCACCAAACCACGCTTAAGACATCAGTTTGTTTTTTTAAACATTCAGTTAGCATCGTTAGTACACAGTCCACTGTGCTATCATAGCAACAGAATTCATCATACCTACACACCTGTGGCTGCATAACAGTCATTCACCAGCATGTAAGATCAACAAAATCTTACGCCATATTTTTATGCCAATTGAACACGTTATGCTTCACCTTTCATTAACTCAAATATGTGTTCAAATATGCATTGGATGTTTCCCCCCCAGTGGTACCTAAGCAGCGTGGAGGAAAAAAAGCCAAAAACACAACACAAGCCAACCACAAAAGCCCAGTAAACTCCACCACTTACCGTTCCAGGCCTTGTAAAGTCAATACTTTGTGCTGCACTTTGTCTCATCTGATTGCTAAACAGGCGAACGCAAACACTTTGAAGATATTCTGGTGTGATCTACAAATCAGGAAACACAATAAGAGAACAAGATCTTATAAAACTTACACTTTCTACCAGACAAGTCTTTGTGTAACAGAGATTTTTTTGAAGGCTAGAAATCACATATTCAAGACTCATCAATGCAAGAGCAAGGTACATACTGGAACTACTGTTTGGTTCAGAAATTAAGAGAACTGTAAACTCTCTTCATTGGGAAATAAGTTAGGCCTTCCAGAACTTGCATTAAGCACTTTCAGAATTTAGAGAAAAACTAAATTTGTGGCATCACTGCTTGCATATAAGTTCTCCTCAATCAAGAGGTGAGTTCTCCAGTAGTAAGAAACACCTTTCCATTTTTCACATAAGCAACAATCTATTGAAGTGTTACCTATCTACAGAGCAGAACTTAAGTCACAGTTGTACAGAAGAGGAAATAAACATGAGTTATGTTTCACTATGAAGCAAAGTTCTGTACTGCATCTCAGTGGGTTTAGGTTTTTTGTTTTGGTAAATCTATACCACTGGATAACTGCTTAACTGCAGAACAGTTATTTGCTGTCCAAAACATGTGTGAGAGATTGTAGGAAAGGAAATTGAGATGCTTCTCATATTCATAGACATACAGCAAGAAAATAAAACCCTTCAAATTCATAATGCTGTCATTTCAGCATTATTCTACTCAGTGTTCAGCTCCACTCTGGACTCAGAAGTGACAGAAACCAAGAATACAATGAAAGAGCACCATCAGCTGGACACATTTGGGAAGGATCAAACAACACCATCAGTTGATGAGAGGAAGTACATAGAGACAGACACGGCAGCAAGCAGCACAGGAACTTCAAGATCATTCTTCCTGTTAACAACTCACAGCTCCCTTAAAAGCACCTAGAGGCTGTCCCAAGAATCCTCCTCAATGTCTGCCACAAGAATCCTCCGCAGGTTACACTGAACTTCAAGCACACAGGTATTCTTGCACAAAAGATGAAGCATAAAATCATCTTTGTATGAAAAAATACCCAAAAGAAAGCCGTAACTCCTCCAGCCACATATATGTGTGCCCATGTGGTACAATGAATAACCCTTTCACCTCTCACGCCCATTCACTTTACCAATTAAATTAAATTAACAAGCTCAGCTTAGCAGAGAAGCAAATAGACATCCGAGTCAGCTCTCACCATTTTGCCATTGACTGTGGCCTCCAAGGAATCCACAAGCTCTGCAGTGACTCCAATGAGATTATGGTAGTCTGCTTGCATTTTGTTAAACCTCTTCAGGTAGGTCATGGTCCTGTGCTCTGACTCCACTAGTTGTTGATGGAGATGTTGCAATGTTTCTGTCAAAATAATAAAAAAAAATGAAAGCAAAAGAACCCAGAAGCATTTTTATTTAGTGCTCTGAAGAGAACTAATTTCTCTTCTTGGCTCTGAATCATTCTTCCTGTGAAGATAAAGAGCAAACCTTCCTGTAGCACAGAACTGCTGAGAAACATAACTGATGCATATAGAAAACTTTGGGATCTTCACCTGAAGAGTCCTACAGCAGTGTAGAGTTCCACAGCACGGTTAATGCTCTTTGTTTAAAAACAAAGCACTAAGCTGAATACCTTGCAGCTACGACAAACAAGCCGTGGAGAAAGTACGCATAGCTGTCTGCAAACAGCACGGCCCCCTGCTCTGAACTCAGGCACAAACCTCTGCTTTGTTCTACAGTGGCTAGCACACAGATGGCAATCATCAGCAGAGGGAGGAATGCAGAGTGGTGGATCAGCACCGTGGCTATCTTGCAGAGCCTTCTCAAGCTGCCTTCTATTATGATAGTCAAGCTATTCTGAAGGCAGAGATATACGAATTACATACAAATATCTGCTAAGTAACTCTACAGAAAGTAGAGTTGCAAGGGACTGCAGTATGGATTTAGGAGACAAAACTGCCAAAAATACTGCTCAGATAGAACTGCCCACAAGACTCACACTATAAATGAAAAAGATACATCATTAGACAGCTTTATGAATTGTGATGTTGGAAATTGCTTCAAAATCTTGTCTTCTGGATTGTTAGGGTTTCAGAAATAAGCTGCTTTTATCCCATCTATATGAAAATCAATAGATGGCAGAACAGCTTATCTTTACCCTCAGAAAATTAAGCAAGATGATCTTTCCAATGGGATCTTTTAGAGAAAAAACAGTGCATTAATAAACTAAAAAGCTTGCTATAAATTTAGTCTTAAAATAATGCATGGAATACAGAGAATGTACATTTTCTTACTTTTCATATGGAGAATTTCCAGCGACGACAATCTGTCTTTCAACCATAGGGACTATAACTACATACACTAAACTCAGTATAACTCACAAATGTTAAGAACCAGGTCCAACATACCCCTGGTCTGTTAAATCCAGGGATTATCAATTGTAAACAGGGGCCTTCACTGAGAAAAGGCGGTTGAAGAGAGGAATCAAAAGTCATGACACATCTTGCATTTTTTACATCACTATCTTCTCAAACAGTAATTTTACTAAAAAAGGCAAAGTATTTCATGAAAGCTTCTCTTACTAACGATGCAGGAAGCTTTCACTGTGGACATGCAACTGACCCACGTGCAGACAGGTCCAGCTCTTCCTGCAGCTATGTTGCCCCATTTTCTCCCCCTGCATTCCCATCGTATTCCCATAATCAATGCCAGCATAGCAAGCTAACAGTCTAGGTAAAAAACACTATCTACTTGCTAGCTTAAAATGTGAAATCATCACAACCTGAGTCAGAATAGGAAAGGTGCTTCTCAGAGTCACCTCTGAATGAAAAGCACCTTTCCATCTAAGTGACCTTGCAGCAAGGATCAAACTGCACCTGTAACAGGAGGCACAGAGTCACACAACATTTGCCTTCTTTTTTTCCTCTCTCTGAATACAGATGAATGCTTTCTACTGCCAACTTATCATAAGCTAAGCTTAGAGAGGAATAAAGAAAGGTTCAGACCTAAGACCTACCATAACCATTATTTATATGCAAGAGGAAAGGGAGGCCAATGAAGGGCAGATGACTGACTTCCTGGTGTAGGAAGGTACAGCACACAGAAAAGCTACTGACTTGAGCCAAATGAAGATTAGGCATCTTGTGAACTTCTGCACGTTTCTACCTGTTTTCTTGACTTGCATGTAATCGTGTCTGTTCATTTGCCAAGCCTTTTTAATGTCATGACTCCAGATCCTACGAGTAACCAAGGAGTTACACACATAATTCTACAAGCTTTTCTCTCAAAGCCAGAGACTGGTTGTTATTCTCCATGACAGTTCACCTACACCTCAAACATGCTTCCTGAACTTGTGCTCGCTCTCCCCATCTCTCTAATATCTGCCTATCCTCACAGCCTTTGCTAGAAGCAGACTCTGCCCAAGCTGAGCTCCCATATGCAATGAAGTGGAGCTCGCAGTAAAGAGGAGAACTTCAGTGCCCTGCAGCTGCTGCCAGCTGAGGTGCCCTGGTGTCTGACACAGGATATTTTGCCCCAGGGAGAGGCAGGAGCTGCCTCGACTCCTAGCAGCTTACCTCCTTTCTGTAGAAATTACAATCGATATCTGGAACTGCCCTATTTCCTTGTTAGCAGTCATTTGGCATACAGTAAATCCTGATAGAGGCACATCGTGCCACACACTTCTCCCATTCTCCACTTCCCCCCAAATGGTGGAAGATCAGCTGTGAGCTCACACACAGATTTGTAACGAGGGAATAGAGGGGACAGTAGCTGAGCACTTTCCAAACCCTTCCTTCCCTCTATTCCCTCCATCCCAAAGGATGCACAGAAAGCCTGAAGCTCTCGTTAGGTGTCAGGCTTTCTGCAGTTCTCTACCTGAACTGAAAGCATCAGGGTGAGCTGTAAGCTCAGCACAGCTGCCACATGAGCAGCCTTGGAAGTCATAAAGCTATTATAGGGTTTTGTAGCAAACAGGCAAAGAGCCAGAGACTGCAGCAGGTTGAACAGGAAAGGTGCACACACAAAACTCTCCAGGACGCCCTCCAAACAATCTGCACCATCCCACCCTTACTTGAAGAGCTTCAGCACGAGATTAATGACTGGCAACTATTCACTAAAGGCATTTTCACCACAGTGCTCTCCGTTCATCTGTCACCTATCAGTATTCTGAGCATTTCTCCTCCACAGAAAAAAAAACAAACATTCTTCAGTGGTGAGTCTGCACTGCAGATCCCACGCCATCTGAGAAGCATCACGCAGAACTAACCTCTCACACCCCATACTTTCACACGATACAAGCCTCAGTAACCTTTACAAAAACTCCAAACCTACCCAAACATTAAGGCACACAACAGAGCTGCCAATTAAGGCCGTGTGGATTCAATTCAACTCCATGGCAATGGGAAAAAAAGTGACTTTTGGAAAAATAAATAAAATAAAAATCTGCAAAGATCTCTTCATTACTCAGTTAAAGTCCAATGCAATCTACAGCACAACATTAAAGAAAATACCTGGTCCTCACTCTGGGAGATGAACCTCATTTTCTTTCTAATTCAATCTACAGAGAATAAATCCTGGAGGGAAAACTTTTCCTAATAGGAAGAGTAATTTTGAGGAACACAAGCTGGGCTCATAGAAATCCCTCCCAATAAACTGAACATTGAAGGTTGAATGGAAAAAAAAATGAATTGGCTTGGGAACATAAATTCTGTTTATTGCTTTTTAAAAGGCACTTCAAGTGCCATCAGCATCTCATGGGACTTTGTTCTGAAATGCCATTTTTAGAGGACCCCCCATTACTGAGTCACATAAGTGTTCATGAGCAGCTTGTCTAAAAACACATCAGAGAATCGTGCTTCAATTAAGATGTTAAATTAAGAGATCCTTAGGAGACACACAACTGTACTATTCTAAGAGCTCAAACAGGATAATCGAAGAGGAACAAAAATCTACTTTCTCTACGAAGGTCTCACAGTCTGCAGGAGAACCGGCTGAGCTGCGAAGTCTACCAGATGCAGACAGGCATAAGCAGGTGCTGGAAACGAATCTGAGGAAGCTTATTCTAACTGAAAACAGAGAGCTGGCATGCACTTTGTGCAGCCACTTGTTTTTACCATCATTTTATTTCAGGACAGAACAGATATAAAACACAAACCCCATCCTCAGCCTCTCCCAGCCCCAGTACATGCCTGTGCTCAGCCCTGCAGACCTCCAGCAGACTTGCACTGAAACGGGTGTGGATTTCAAGGGATTTGCTGCCATGCATCTGAAAGCTTCCCTGTCACTGTAGGCCTACTTTCCACTGCTATTACAGCCCCTAATAATACGTAATATCCTTATCACATCTCAGCACTTACCTTTACTGCACTGTCCATTCTCCTTCTGTGTATGAGTTGGAGCTGTTCAGGAAAAGGCACTTCCTCTTGCACAAAGAAATCCAACCTCCTGGTAAACTCAACCAAACCAGAGATTCCTACAGACCCAGACAACAGCCAAAGCACAATGCTTTGTAGAAAAGCAACAATAAAGGAATCAGTAAGTACATACAAATCTTAAGTGCACAACACTCCTTGTTAGATAGGGACTTCTTGCTGGCCTTTACACATAACACATCCAACTCTGAAGATCTGGTGACTCCAGACTAAACATATTAACTATAAATATCAGAAGTCAAACTGCTGATTACATACGAAATCAGCATAGAAATATGCAAATGTTGTAGGCCAAGTGATGAATTTTTACACCAAAGAAATACTCAGGGTTCAGTTGGGATCCAGTCCATTACTCCATAAAGAGGTATAATGAGAGACAATTTTCTCTAACTGTTCTGTGTCACACACACACACAAACAGCTGCGATATGGAAGTGAAAGCAGACTGTTTTGATTACTGCTCCTCATCCTGGGGAATAAACAAGAATGGAGCAGGAATAACACTTCCAGCTCAGTACCACTCTGCGTGATGTTTCAGGATGGGGCACGTGAACGAGGATTTAAACTTCATCTGCTAGAGAAGAATAAAGCCAGAAACAAAGACTCCAGTTCAGCTCTCTCTGCCTTACCCTCCACTATCCTGACCAAAAATGGAGAAGGTAATCTTGTCACACAGCTAGTCAGTCTGCAACTTTAGGTCTGACAACACAGCTCAAACAGTGTCACTGGAAGAAAAATAGTCGGAAATGCAACTCATTTAGTAAAACAGCAATCTCTGCAAAGTCCTGCAAACCACTCAGCCAGTCCCTGAAATGGCTAACGGAAAAGACTGAGAGCTTTAAGAACACAAAGACAGGAGTCAGGTTTGGGATAGCCTGTACTCCATGCATGCAAACAAAGAATGGTCACAGGAGAAACGTGTGCTTCGTATTCACCCATGTATTGCCTTCACATAACTTTTTTAAAAAGGTTTTTTTGAACATGGAATATAAACAATGTTTCCTACCATAAAAGACATTGAACTGCAATGTTTCTGCAATGGCATAATAAATCTTCCAGCATATTCTTCCAATAAATCACACTGCCTCTTTACAGCAATTCTAATGATCTTCAAAGTATTTTCTCAAAAGGATACAAATAAAGTGAGAAGCCTGGGAGTCTGGCTGGCTTTGAGAGTCAGACACAGGAACTTTTCCAATCTTGTCCTTAAATCCAACGTCCAAGAATCCTTCAAAAAAAAAAAATGATGACAGCTGTTCACCAAATATGTACACTTTGCTGAAAGGACTGCTTGGATCACATCAACCTTCCACTAGTAAACAAGGCAGCTAACACTGTAGTGAGATTTTCCTTTGCTGTTACTGAAGCAAATGTGTTAGCTAACTACCCCTAAAAGTACAGCAAAGTGGATTTAATATTATTTCAAGACCTCTAAAATTATGACCTAGCTTCAGTTCAAGTTTAAATCTAACATGTAGTATCATTGTATTATATGCATATGCAACAACTGTTTTTCAACTAGAAGCACCTTTAAAATACAAGCACTTGACAAAAAGGTAGCAAGAATGTCACATTTTTAAATAAAGTACCAAATGAACCACTTCCCATTCTTCTGTTATCAAAAGGAAAGCAACGAAGTCATCATTTACTCCCAGTGAGATCTGGGACTTCACTCCCTGCCCATAACTACAGGGAGCATCACGACGTGACATCAGTGAACAGTGCACAACATTTCCAAGATGGATTTGGAGGGGAAAAAAAACACAAAACTCCCATGAAAAGACAGACCAAGACATCAACCACAACGGAATGCTGTCTGACACAGTGTCTCTTAAGTGCAGGAAAACAAAAGTTAAGGCACAAAAATTCCGTGTCTAAGAATTCACCAATTACATTTTTCTTGTATTTCAAACCATTAGTTCTGCTGGTTTCTGCTCGGTTTATAACAGATTTAAAGCCAACAGATGAGAATGAAGTATCTTCCAACAAGTGAAAAAGCAGTACAATCCAACAAGTAGCAGGAGCTTCTTAATTTACTGCTGGATATGTATACATTGCAAGCTGTTCTTGCAGCTCGAACTCGTCCATATTTCACCACGCTGGACAGCATACAGTATTTCCTTGCTGCAGTCACCAATTCAGTAAGAAGACACTGGTAAACCACAGGATGTCATATATTACCAAAGGAACTATGTCTGTTACAGAAAGAAGTGTGTATTATTTTTCAAGATATATTAAACAAACAGTTAGGAACTCCAGCTACATAAAGCATGAGATGTCTGAGAAGAGAGGTGCCATAAGAACACTGCTTCGTAGAGGAGTGACTCACTGCTGTTCTTTCTCAAATGCAGAACAACCTGTGCTTCCACACTAACACACGGTCACACAGCCAGCTGTACAGTTCCCACAAGAAAACATGAGTGGCTGTGGACTAAGAGATGGATACTGAGTTACTATGAATAAACCAGAGGATCCTGTCTTAGATTAGGTATTAAAAAATAATCTGCTAAGCGTAATTAAAAGAGCAGTCATTGCCCAACACTGAGGTCAACCAGCACACCTCATTATTTATAGCTAGTCCCAAAGGAAAATTGCAGTACATGCCTTTTTTGGTGCTAAACTGGAGCTCCTCATCAGCTGCTACATTCAAGTCAGCCCCAGGCAAGCATCCCTTGGGCTCTGATTTGACATGAAGAAGCACGTGGCTGAAATACAGGCTAAGAACATCCCCTCCCACCACCAGCACTGTACACAGCTCCCCAGGTGAGCTAGCACAACTGCCCAAGGGGGGGGGGGGGGGGGGGGAAAGAGGCATAAGCACATAACCCAGCAAAAACACTGCACCTACTTTACTGGTAAGTGCCTGTCTGTGCACGTACATACATGGCAGCTCTATATACACGCTCGTCTGCAACAAAGCAGTTCACTTTCTTGACCCAGCTCAAATGCAACAGCATAACCAGCTGTTTGCTGCACAGATGAGAAGTCAGCACAATTTGTCACTACACAAACAAGCCACCAGTTGGTGGAATGGGTGAAATATCCTCTGCAGGAACTGCCACTGCCTTACAACCACATCTGTAACCACCCCCCTACACACTGCCCACAGCGCTGTCAGTGGAAGGGAGTTTTGTTACCCCTTCATCAACAGAGGAGCAGTCGGTCACTATGAGCCTTACAGAAGTGCACCTGGAGGTGAAAACATATTTGAAGGTTCAATCAGTAACTTTTACACTCGTTTCACCTCACGTGTGCGTGCCTAAGAACTGAACCCTGACAGCCAAAGGCAAAGGCTACAACAATTCACACAAAAAAACATTAACCAGGAAAAATGTCTGTGGCAGCAGTCATGAAACCACTGAACACAGGGACACTTCTCCAGCACGTCTCAGAGAACACTGACTTGTTATCTAAATTAAAAGAATCACATCCTCAATTTCTGTTATGGGAAGATTACTTAGCTACTTGCCTTTCTCTTTTCCACATTAAGCGAAGCTGAATGAAACTCTATTAGTTTCCTTATACCTAGCTATGACGCTTTGAAACCAAACCATACACAGATAGTGGGGTATCCTGGGCAACAACCTCAAAGCATGGAAGTGGAACTGAACTACTCTGTAGTGATTCCCATAAGCGCTGTGTGGAAAGGAAAAGACACAAAGCCAGCACACCAGCAAAGAGAAAATTCATTTAAGATTTTACTCTGTTCTCAACAGCACCCTCACAGCCCTTCCTCCACCAAATACATGTTCTCTTATTGTACAGCTGTAGTAAAAAGAAACAATAAAAGCAATTACCAAATCAAACATCATCCAACATCTATCATCATATGGGAAAAAACCAACACAAAAGCAACATCATAAATGTCATCTCAACAAATTACATGCTTACCTGGAAAAGTTCTTTAAATGAAGGATGCACCATAGGGTTGGGAACAAAAGGCAAAGCGTAGAAGGGAAGAAACTCTGTAGTCTGGCTCAGGGCAGCTCCTTTTGTTTCCAAGTATGCTTTAAAATGAGAAATTCTTTCCTCAAGTTCAGCTTTGTCCTAAGAAAGAAAGCCACACATTTATTTAGAAGATTGCCATTCTGAATGCACTATAAAGCGTGTAAATGTAACGAAACAAGAGAGGGACAATTGCCTTTTGAATGCCCAGTATACCTGCCCACTTTCTGACAGATAAAGCAGTGTCACTTCATGCTCCAGGCTGACAGAAGATATCTACCTGACTTTAGACATGCTTCATTTCAGTGATAACTGCAGCTGAAAAGATCCAGTCACACCGTGTCAGGAGCGACACAGAGGGAAGAAATCACTGAATCAAAACCCACATTCAGCATGAGAAGCAATAGGGGGTAATTTTTTCTTGCCATATATATTTAATTTGTTTCAAGATCTTCAAAATTAGACTTGTACTAAATTCTGAAGAGAAATTGTTAGAAGCGATACGCATTACAAGAAGTTGTTCTCAAAGTCACTGATAACCCTTATTAATAAAATTCTTCCAGTATCTTTTATTATGCCTTGCAGTGAACTCTCTGCCATCTGTGGACTTACTGTTGAGAAACTGAGTGAGCTTGGATCCAGAGGCTGTATGATGAACTCCCATGGCGCCATGTTCAAGCCAGCAGCCCCAGTAAGTATACTCCTCTCCTATTCAGACCTATCCTACATTTGTAGGAGGTGTGAAATTATCTGTACGCTGGGATTTTGCAAGTCAAAGTATTTCAGGAGCTCCAAGATAAGGACACCTCCAACCTCTATCTCTCTGCTTCACAAACCAGGGCCAGCTTTCAACTAAAACACAGGCCGCTGCTCAAAAGCAGGATCCGTATCCTGGGACTTCTTAAGAAGCATCCCATTTTCATCCAAACCAAAGCCAAACAGACCAAGTAAAACAAAAGCAATCTGAAATTCAGACTGTGAAATAAACTTACAGGCTTTCCCACAGAGTGTTTTAAGAGGTAGGTGGCAAAATGTACGTGAAGATGGAACTCCAGCTTCTGAGCAACTGGTTCATTGTCCCGGACTGAAGATGAAACGTGCTCCTCCCAGAGCTGGAAGAAAGCCTTCTGCTCACCATTGTCAAATGCTCTGAGCAGATCTTTCTGAAAAGGCAAAAGCATTCAATCAAAACACAAACAACAGAAGAGCCGCATTTTTTAACCACAGTAAATGAAGAATCTAAGTGACACCTGAAGATTCTGAATTACAGCTTTATCCCAAACCTCCCACCACTCAGTGACCAGCTGAATATTCTTTCTCAAGCTGTCTCTAATATCTCCAACAGCATGAATCAACCTTCATAACATGAAGCAAAGAATTTTCAAGCATCTATCTGGGGACTCATCTTTACCATACTAGAAAAACGAATGCCTACAGTGTCTGGAAATCAGCCTTGCTGAAGTACATCAACCTGAAAAAAGCTGAAATAGTGCAAACCTACTGCTTCAGGTACTGGAGTTCTGCAAAAAAGAAAATTCAACGCTTCCTGCACTAAAAGAAGAGTGCTTGCAGCCTTCTCCAAAATAAACAAGAATGGGTGCAGGCTTCAGATAACATTACTGTTGTAATAATTCACATAGTGTTAGGTGGACTTTGGCTGGTTTGAGTGTTACTCAGAATAAGTGCAAGTGATGCATTACCTGAACAGGAATGGCTTTTGAATCTCTCAAGGAAACACCTGCTGTTTTAGGTAGTGACTTCCCTTTTATTTTGCATTCCTTTGCAAATACCTTCACTGTTTCTTCAAATTCAGCAAAATCCAAATACTACGAGATAAAAACATAGAGAAATTGTCATTTTTAGATTATTTATGCTTCAAAGAGGGGCCCACGAATTGCCAAAGTCCTCTGAAGTTTCTCGGTAGGGAACCTGCTTTGGCAGGGGGGTTGGACTCGATGATCTCTGGAGGTCCCTTCCCACCCCTACAGTTCTGTGATTCTGGTAGCACGGTCCCTGAGTGCTGAATGTCTGCATGAGAACAAACTAAGAACCATGTCTCACATGCTAGGAAAATGCTGCTTCCCAGGTAGATTACCTTCTACAGATTCTACAACAGTGCTCACAGCCACTTTGAAAGAAGTATGCTCCCTAATTTAGACGGTAACTTCATTCAAAGAAGAAAAAGAACCAAATTCCATTGCTGCAGCACCTCGCCTGAATGAACAACGCAACAACTTCGTTGCAAACGATGTACTCGGGGGACAGAATTTTAAGCGTGATCCTCATCCTCGCAGCAGCACTCACACACGGCAGAGGCACTTCCAGCCCCTCGCATCCGAGGCTGCGCATGCCAAATCAACGGCCAGCTGAGCACCGTTCTGAAGAAGAGATCGGCAGCCTCCTGCCTTCCCCCCACCACGCGCAGGCACCGCATCACGCACCTCCCCACTTCGGGAGCCTCAGGCACTGGTTAACGAGGCAAGAAGCCGCGTTTCATCTCGTCAACTTGAATATGGCCACAGGGAAGAGAAATAATTTGCTTCCTGCGTTGTTAGCACAAGCGGTGCTATATTAACAAGTCCTTAAAACTGCTTTTAGATTTGCATACTGAGAGCCAAAAATGATTTAGGCTTCAAATTACTTTGCTGCTCGGTAGAATCGTTAGGCAGAAAGTAAGCGGCTCCAACACACAGCGCGCACAAAGGTGAGCGCCGCAGCCGCTCCTGGCCGCCCCTCCACAGCAGCTGCCTGTGGAGCCCCGCAGCCAAGCCGCGCACACGGGCACACGCCGCGGGCACTCGGGGCAGGACGACGGGAGCACCCGACGGGCAGCGCTGCCGCTCGGATCTCCAGAGCTGCCCGCCTCGTTGGTGGCTGCAGCGAACACGCGGCCGGATGGCAGAGCGCCTTTTCAGCGCCTCGCTCCCCGCTCGCTTCAGCAAAAGGGAAGAACAGAAGAGGGCACCGACCTCTCTCACCAGTCCCAGTAACTCGGCCTCGTAAGCCAGCACGTCGCCCATCGCTGAGCGGCACCGCCAACACAGCGACGCCGGCGCCGCGCGGCCTACCCGACCGCCGCCTCCCTCGGTCGCTGTGGCAACCGCGGCCGCACGCTCCTCCCTTCTCCTGCAACACGTGATCGCGCTCAGCCAATCGCAAGCGGAAAGTGGAACCACGTGACAGGGGTGGTGGCTTCGCGGCTGCGGGACGCATATGCTAGCAGCAGAACGGTCTGCCGGCGGTGATGTGGCTGGCGTGCTGGTGTCGCCTGTGCAGCTTTGTGTTCCTGTGCCCGCACCTTTGCTGGGTGAACACGCCCTCCCCGTAACCCCACCCCCAGGCGCAACGAGGCACCGTCTGCCTTTAAAAAGCCGCAAAGGCTGCGGTGCTCTGCGTTTGCCCCAGCCTTTGAATCTCAGCCTGACAGGAAGCAAAAGCTGAGGTCACCAGGCGGCTCAGTGGCTCTGCTCTCTCCTGAGACCGTTTCCCAACCCAACTTTCCAACGCTGCGCTCCAGTATGAATGTGGTTCAGGGCGCTGGCATTTGGCCAGTCATCCAAGGATTTTTATTTTATATTGAAGACAGAGGGAAAAAAAACAACCCAGCCCCAACCCTTGGACATTGCTGCCAGATCTAAAATTGTCAACGTAGTAGGATAAATGTTGGGAAAGAGAGAGGTGATGGAGAATAGTTATGACAGAAACACGTCCCCGTGGGTAAGCAGGCATCAGCACCCCATCCTCGACTCGTGGGAATCACCATTCAGCACTGCTGCAAATAGCTCTGCTCCCCCTTCTGCCTGCAGTGGGTTGGCATTCAAGTGTAAAACACTGAATTCGACTGCTGTTCTTTGGGAAAGGAAAGTAAGATGTGAAATACCTCATGCAGAGCAAATGCAGCCCTGCAGATCTACTCCTCTGCCGTGCCTTCCCTCTGCAAAGCCTGGTTATCCAGGTGAGGGACTGAGTGGTTTCAGCCGGGTCTGTGGATGCAGAAAGGGAACGTGGCTGAGCTGAAGCAGGGACACCTTCCTCTGCCTGAGTGGTCAAAACACTCTCTGTTTAACCATAACCCTGGGTTTATTTGTGCTGTGAATTCCAGACGCTGAAAAAACATCTGAACTGTGGCTGGAGCTCAACAGACCGCTCTGCTTCCAGGGTTTGCCACTGTATCATTCATGTTCAGAGTTAGGATAGGTAGGTCTTTTTCTGCTTGTTCTAAAAGTAGATGCTATGCGCTGCAGACAGAAAGCTGTGTAGCCCTGTGGCTTATGGAGAACATTGGCAGCTTGGCTTTTGGATCAAAGACGCTCCTGGGAAGCACAATGCAAGTCTTAGAAAGCACTCAGCAGTGCCTAGAAAGCAGCCTGTAATTTCTAGAAAGCAAGGGAGAATTCCTAGAAAGGACTGGGAAATGTTCAGAAAGTGTTCTGCAATCTTTAGAAAGTGCTTAGATACTTAGAAGTGACTTCTTGTTTCTTAAGAAGCACCTGAGATTTCCTAGAAAGTACAAGAAAAGGCCTAGAAAGTGCTAGAAAGGTGTATGATAGTATGCTGAAATTGCGAGGAAACACTCCAAAATGTTCAGAAAGTACCTGGGATTCCAGCCTGTGATTCCAACAAGGCTCTCTGCAATTCCTAGAATGAACAGGGATATTCCCAGAAACCACGAAGAAGTTCCAAAAAGCTGTGGGAAATTCCTATGGTCTTGCCTAAATTCTTAGCACAGGAATGCTTTTAGAAAGCACCAGAAAAATGCTAGGAAGTGCTGGGAAATCTGTATTCCGAGCATGACAGTTAGCAGTTTTGTGTGCTGCAAAGCGCCAGCATCTGGTGTAAGGTCAGGAAGATGCAACGTTTGTGCCTCAGACCTGAAAAGCAGCACCCACTGCCCTCCACGGCCAAGGGGGGACATCTGTCAGTGCCTGGGACATGGAGCAGCTCTGCAGTGTACGTTTGTCCTTGGGACAGGTGATAGTTCCACTGCTGAGCACTCCTGGGGCTGGGCTGCCCAGCCGTGAGCAGGACGGCGACCTCCTGCCCAATTGAAAAACAGATCACTGTGTCCTGTGCCCAGGTGGAAGATTCTGTAGGAAATGGCTTCTTTCAGCAGCCTCTCCAACTTCTTGCATTAAAAATAAAAGCAAACCAGGCAAGAGGAGAACGTTTTTCAAAGCTTGGACACCCTGTTATTTTCTGAGTCAAACTTCAGCTTTTAGTTGCTGAAAAAGATTCTGGCTTGGATTTTCAATGAAGACTTTTAAAGGAGCGTTTAGAGAATGAATAAGAAGTCATTAGAGCTTTTGGTGGATGGATGGCACATGTCTGTGTTTGGAGCACGGCCTGGCTCTTAGTAGGACTGCCCAAGGCTGAGGTTAGCTTGGACCGAGGTCAAACACTGTTCACATTTGACTTACACAGCAGTGTGACCCCAAGGGCCCTCTGCAAGGGGAGGCAATGAGTTGCAAAACCTCTCTGTTTGCTGCAGCAGCAAACTACCACAAAGCTGCTCTGTCTCCCTGGGCTTGTGTAGCTGCTGCTGAGCTTCACCTCTCCCCACCTCAGCCTAGAAGGATGCAGTCAGCCCCATGCCAGTATATTCATACGCAAACCCTTCTCCAGTAATTTCCTGTAACCAAAGTCCCTGGCTAGGAGAGGCACAACAGACACTTTGATTTGGTGCCATGGGATGCAGGAAGGAGGCAGCGGGGTGAGCTTTCCAGCTGGTTATAGAAATCACCTGATCAATCGGGGACAAATTGCAAAATCCCCAGCCTGGAAGAGGAGCAAGCAGCAGGCTTCCACTATGAATGAATGCATGAACTCTCATGCCTTATGCAGATGTTTCCAGCAAGTTATTTTCTGCTGCTCCTTCTTCATCCCTGGGCCCCAGATTTCACGCTTTGGATAAAAACAAAATAGGTCTCTGTGTAAAGTTAAAGAAAACAGAGAATTTGCCCAGACCAACCAGAGCTATCTCAGCTTCTCTTCTGGGAAGACATGGTGGAGAAACAAAAAGTTAATTCATCTTGATTCTTACTGACAGAATGGAGAAAAACATCTAAATGGGAGAGCCACCCTAACACTGAAAACAAAGACACTGCACCAAATATTTCAGGTCTCTTTCCTTCATCCTGAAGGGGAAAAAATTGCTCTATGCTTCATCCTTTGTAGGTTATCTTTGGAAGAACAATGTCCCCATAATTTCAGCTGATAATTAACTCTGCCTGTATTGCAGTTCTTCCCTGGGTCACCAGAGCAGCTATTTGTATTCTTGGCCACGAATGCTGTTGCACAAAATGTCTCTGCCCAGAACCTATGAAAGGATATGAGCAGCAAGCTCTGGGGTGCCCTGCATGGCAGCTCCCACCTCATTTGTACCCTCAAGGTATAGCTCTTCTGCCATCCATTTTCTGCAACATAAAAGGACGACGGAGGTTTGTGTGGCTTGAACACACGTGCACACATGTGGGGCAGTGGGTCCATCAGCCCAAGCCCATGAAGTTGGGTCGCCTGGGGTTCGTGGCTTCAGAATCTCTATGATGTCCAAAGGGCTTTGGCAGAGGGATGACTTGCTGTGAGCCACCTCTCTGTAATACATGGGTAATTGCTGATCCTTCTGCTCACTACAGGAGATACTGATGGCTAATCTAAGTACATGAATAGTGCTTCTTTTAAGCAAAATAGAACAAAGTTTTAGTTGTGCAGCCAATGCCAGGAACTGGAATATAGACCTCCACACACAACTCCAGCCCTGGGCTCCTTCCAGTTGGACCATTTGCCCACACACAGCAGATTTCAGAAGCAAAGTCAAGCCAGCCCTGAGCTGGAACTGAGCAGCAGGGGCTGAGGCAGCTTCTCCTTGCCTGAGGAATGGAGCATGAGAACAGTCCAGTCCACCCAGTGCTGGAAAGCTAGCACTGTCAGCAGCCAACCAGTGACAGCCCAGGGCAGACTGAAGTCTGGGCGGCAGTCCTCCAGCCTGCAGAATACAGACAGATAAATGACCAAGTCACCATCACTATCAGTGGCAGCCAACCTTGGCATTCCAGGACGAGGAGGAAGGGCTTCGCCTGGGCCTGGATGGGAGGGCAGAGATAGGGAGGGCGGCTCCGCTGTGATCAGATGAACCCTGCCCCGGCAGCACAGCCTCCAGCATCTCCATCTCCACCTCTCCCCTCACTACTGTGCCCAGCTGAGATAGCTAACTGAGTTAGCCACTGAGGAGATGACCAGGGCATCCTGGATCTGTCAGAACAGCACGGTTCTTTCAGTGATTAGTGACTGAGGTTCAGTGAGATAAGGCCCATTACTCAAACGTGTTTCCTGCCACCTCTGCCTCTCCCTTCATGAAGACCTAAGAGCATCAGACCCAATTAGCCCTTGGCAAGCACCCCAGGGGTGGGTCCCACCACATGGGTCCAGGAGAGCAATGCTCCCTAGGAAATCATAGCCAAAAAGCCACTGGGGCTGCAATGACATTATTTACAACAGCACTTTCCCCCTACACATTCTCCAAACCAAACATTGGAAAGCCAGAGGTTGCCTCCATCCCTCAGGCACGGCACAGACCTCACGGGCCAAGCCCCACCTGTCCCCAGGGAAGCCGCCTGAGCACACACTGGTGAAGGGGTAGGATCCAGCCCAGGCAGCACAGAGCTCAGCTGGGGCCAGTCAGAAAAGTCCCCAAAGGGAAACCCCAAATACACCAGCAGCCTTATCCAATAAACCAAAAGGTACAGATTTTGAAAACCACCTACCACACAACTTCCTGCTTCGAGAGGAATGACTTCTCAGTCCCCTGGGTCTTAAGTCTAATGACCACTGGACTAGAGCAGTGACTGCCTCTGTTTCCAATGTTACCTCCACAAATGTTGTCTGTAGATATTTCAGGATCATTCTCAGCTCTGATCTGCAGGAGAACAGATCTGCATCACACTGAGAACAGTGAGCTCTGGCCAGCACCCCCACTGAGACAACATTTCAAATTCAGGGACCTGACTGAAGTCTAGGACTCAAAGTTGGCTTTCAGTCCCATACCTCTGCTCTGTACTTCTTAAGCTTTGCAGAAA